AGGTGTGGCAAATCGGAGGGTCCGTCCTATCAAAAAGGTGGCCATGTGTGAGGCGGGTATGACCACACCTCATTCTGGCCAGGGTCACCTCGCGTATCCTGTCTGGTTGGTTACATGTGACCCATGTTCTAAGTTCTCGTTTGATCGCATACATATGTGCAGCATGATGTTGGTCCCATTTGCGTTGAAGGTACTCGGCGAATTTGATTTTTATCATATGGATAGCGTCCCCTTGGGCCATAGGTTCCACAACTGGATCAGGTCGCATTGCAGCCTCCTTTGCGAGGACATCCGCACGTTCATTTCCTGTGCATTTGGCGGCAAATACACTGAAACAACCAACAACTCGCGGTTTAGTAGTGAAACAGTAGCTGCTACAACATTTAGCGGGGAAGCTATATTTGTTTTCCGTTGTGACACTGAATTTGCTACATAAAGAGCTACGCCACCCTCATGGGCGTAACCACCGGGCTGGAACGCTGGAAATTCCAGCCCATTTTTGGGATGCTGAAATGCCGCCCCCGGTAGAGGAAGTCTACAATTGCGGGACTCGCGGACTTCAAAACGAAGCAAAAGAAACGGCACTGCTCGGTCCACTATACGCCTGACCTCAACGTACCGCTCCTCACTACTCGTGCCCTTTACACGCCGCCCCTCCCAGATGTCCTTCCGCCCCCCGCACCGACTCCCCCTCAAGTTCCTCGGAGCTCTCTATGTGCCGCCCCTCACAGAACCCCGTCGCCCTCAATGTGCCGCCCCTCCGCATAATGCTCTATCGCCGCTGTGCCGCCCTCCCCAGATGACTTGCCGCCCCTCCCCAGAGTACCTCGGCGCTCTCTACATATGTGCTGCCCTCGCCACAACTTCCCGCCGCCCTCAATAAGCCGCCACTCCCCACAATGCTCTATCACCATATGTGCCCCCCCCCCCCGAGGTGCCTCGGCGCCCTCTATGTGCCGCCCCTCACCACAAAACCCCGCCGCTCTCAATGCGCCGCCCCTCCCCACAACGCTTTACCACCGTCTGTGCCGCCCTCCATAGACGCCTTGCCGCCCTCCCCACAGTACCTCGGCACCCACTATGTGACGCCCCTCGCCACAACAACCCACCGCCCTCAACACGCCGCCCCTCTCCAAAATGTTCTGTCGCAGTAGCGCCGCCCTCCCAAGGCACTTTGCCGCCGCTACCTGCCGCCCCTCCCCAGACGCCTCTCTGCCCTTACGTGCCTCCCCTTCTCAGAATGCGTCGAAACGTTTAATGATTCGCCCCTCCCTATAACGCTTCATCGACATCTGTGCCGCTCTCGGCCCGGGGGGGGGGGGTCGCGCCTCCCCCTGGCAAATATTTGCGATAGCTCAGTCAGGGGTGCTTAAATTGCTGCTGTTTACATATACTACTCGTAACTACGCATTGACTTGGCGAATTGCGATGAAACGTGTCCGATATAGGTGAACATCGTGCGGACCGGGGGATCCATAATTCCATGGCTAGGTATCACAGTTTGGTTGCTCCTCTGAACGTGCGCAAGTGAAGGACGTGCGCACGTTTTGGCGGGCTCTGTATGCTGCCCAACACAAAGTGTTACATTTTGGGCTCGATAACTCAAAGGGACTCGCCTAGCGAATTCAGCCCATGAGAGCGTCAGGTGAGACGCTCTGATCGCAAACAACCATCGAAGCCGCGAAATGGCCCTGTGTGATCGCTTGTCGCTTGATGTGAGCCTTCCGGGCCAACGAGTAGTGTCCTGAGCGCGCAGCGAGACTCAGAGTCATCTGAAGCTGAGCACTTGAAAGAGTCCTCGGTCTACTGTGGGCCCTTGAGTGGGTGAGAGGTCTTTGGCTGGATCCCGTCCTGCAGGCTCACGCCTGGAATGGGTCCTATTTAAGCAGGCTCGAAAGCTTAGGGGCCATCAGAGGCCGGTGTGGGGCTCTGAGAGTTAAGCGTGGCTGCTTAAAAGTTGCGTACTGCTTTCAGAAGGCCTGTGCGTTGGGCACCCAAAGACCAGCGTGGTGCCTTAGAATGCCAGTGTCACGCCCTCAGAGATGCACCGGTCAAGCCCTTTGAGGTTCTCAGAGGCGTCGGTGTGGGGCTCTCACAGGCGAGTGTGTGATCCGTTGAGGTTTTGGCGTGATACCTACCCTCAGAGGCCGGCGTGGTGCTCTTAGAAGCTGGTGTGGGCTTCCAGAGTCTTCAGCGTAGGACCCTCAGAGTCACCGTTGAGGACTCTCAGCGTCACCGGTGAGTGGCCGGACCGTGGGCAATGAGCCGGTATGGGACCCTCAGAGGAAGGCACCGGTGTGAGACTCTCAAGAGAGGTCAGTGTGAAGCCTTTAAAGTTGCCTGTGTGATGCAATGGGTGCACTGGCGTGGCGCCCTCAGAAGGCCGGTATGGGATTAAAGCTTAGCGAGGTGATAAAGGACTTGTGTGGTGCCTTCGGTAGGACCCTCAGAAGTACCGGTGTAGGACCTTCACAGCCACCGGCAAGGAGCCTTTGGAAGCATTGGTGTGGGGCCCTCAGAAGTATTATTGCTGACTGAGGCCAAAAAGGTGCCGGTGTATACCCTCAGAAGTGCTAGTGTGAGGCCCTGAGAGACGCTAGTGAGGGTCCTCACAGGCACCGTTGTGGGCCCTCAGAGACACTGGTGTGGGGCCGTCACAGACGAATGTGGGGCCCTTAGAGGCTTGAGCTGCTGGTCTGAACCCTTTAACAGCCAGCAGGGGGCTCTCAGAGACCAGCAAGGGGTCCTCAGACCAGCAAAGGGTCCTCATAGGCCGGCGCTACCTTCAGAAGCCCTGTGGGGTCCTTAGAGACCGGTATAATACTTTCAGACGCCGTTGGGGTACTCGAGAGTCGCCGATGTAGGGCACTCAAAAGTCACCGGTGGGTGGCCGTCAGATGCGCTGGTATGGGGCCCTCAGAGGCGCCGATGTTGGGCCCTCAGAGCTGCTGATTTAGGTCCTTATGAGGCACTGGTGTGGGGCCCTCAGGGGTGCCAGTGTGGGGCCCTCAGAAGCACTGGTATGGGGCCCTCAGAGTTGGCAGTGTGGGGCACTCAGAGGCGCCGGTGTGGGACGTGCACAGTCGCCGGTGAGGCCCTTTACAGGCGCCAATATGGAGTTCCTCAGAGACACAGGGCCATCAGAGGCGCGCATGGGGCCCTTAGAGCTGCTGTTGTGGACTCCTCATAAGCCGACAAGGGGATCTCAGAAGGCGATGGTGCGTTGAGGAGCCCTTTGGGGTCCTTAAACTCCGGCGTGGTTTTCTCAGACGCCGCTGGGACCCTCACAGTCACCAGCGTGGGGTCGTCCGAGGCACTGATGTGGGGCCCTCAGGACCGCCGATACAGGGCCTTTAGAGATACCGGTGTAGGCCCTCAGAGTTGGGGGGGCGTGGGACCCTCAGATACGCCGGTTTGGGACCTCGTAGGCGCCCGTGTGGGCCCTCAGAGTCGCCGTTATGGGGCCCTCAGAGAAACTTGTGTGGGGCTATCACAGACGGGTTTGAGGCCACTAGAGGTGGCCGTAATAGGCCGGTAAGGGCCCTCAGAGACCAGCAAGGGGCACTAAGAAGCCGGCGTAGGGCTTTTATGGGGAACTTTGTGGCTACTTAGGGGCCCATGAGATGTCCTTACGAGCCCTGTGGGGCACTTCTGAGTCGAAATATGACCAGAAATATGGCCAGTTAAACCCCAGCAGCCCATTGGCGCCACAGGGCCCCTCGTGCCCGTGTGGGGGACCTTCGAGACCGGTTTGGGCCCTCAGAGGCGCCGGTGAGGGCTATCAGTTGCCATGACGGGCCCTCAGAGAAATTGGAGTGGGAACATCACAGACGGATGTGGGGCCCCTAGAGGTGGCCCCTAATGGGCTGGTAAGGCCCCTCAGGCTCGTTAGGGCGCTCTGGCCGGTAAGGACCCTGAGGCCGGTAAGGGCCCTGAGGCCAATAATGGCCCTTAGAGACCGTTGAGGCCCCCTCGCTTTCGACGCCCATGGTCAGACTCAGATCCCATTGCAATTGAAGTCACCATCCTCCATGGTAGTAGCAAAGTCAAACTGCTAGCAACGGGCTGACCACCCATCTTACGCATGCATATCTACCGCATGAAGTACCAAATCTCAAAGACCAGAGTTGTGGCGTGTTCTCTGCGTGTGCCCCTTACAACGTGTAGTCAGCTGATGAATGCTGATTATTGTTCTTCTTTCCCAAAGCGGAAGTACTTGATGCACAAACAACAGTGACACGGTAAAGGCCCTCAAGCACTCACCTCCATGACTCCCAAAACATAATTGCCGCCCTTCCCTTGGCATTTAATGCCGCCCCCGGAGGGCGTTATTTCCAGCCCATTTTTTAAGGAGTGGTTACGCCCCTGGCCACCCTGTCTATTTGATAGATTTATGTCCTGTCTGTACAAAGTATATCCAGCCTCATTGTAATTTTAATGATCTGTGTTCTTAAAGTGAGTTTCCTGAATCCCAGCTAGAAGAGGAGCTTCCTTTTGTATATACTGTTTAAATTCAGACAAATGGGATAGAAGTCCTCCTACATTCCATTGAAGCAAGAAATCCATTGCAGCAGCTATCTAGTTTGTTTGGCGCGCTATTCGGGGATGAAGGATCGTCTGGTCACGATCTGGGTACGAAGGCCCACATTTTTCCTCTCCTTCGTTGAGCGTGCTCGGAGGCGAGTTTGATGAATGACACTGACGCTTACTCGCTTCATATTTTGTAACAAACGCGCAAAAACTGCAATATAACAGCACTATATGCTTCTTGACAAAATGCAAAAGTAGTAAAAATTTAGCCCTGATGGCATTCATTCTTGGTGGAAACGTAATAACAAAATATTTTGTAGTAGCTATTAAATTCCGGCCGAAAACAGTGCACGGTTTAAAAAAGAATCATTCCAATGACGGTCCATTCGTGCGGTCCTGAAATCGCCACTATTTCCGGCCTCTCCAACGCAACTCGTTGTCCAGACGTAAATATGCATCTACGGTTTACTACGGTGGTTTTATTGAGCCGTCCCTGATTGGCCAGCTTTTTAGTATACGTCATAAGACCTATTTAGCGATGTTCTATTCGCACCGAATAAGACTGTCGACAAACCATTTCTGCGTGCGTCATAACTGTCTTATATTTTTGTGTGAATTGTTTATTTGTGATTAGTGATATCAATATTTGTGTGTGACTGGTTTCAGTGTGGCTCCACGGACTCCACTTTTTCCGTGAATTTCCTCCCTCTGAAAGCTAGACATTGACATACAAAATACCGAAATATACGCCCGTCTCGAAGACTATAGTTTGGAACCCCCGCTCAACAAGATTGCTTTCCTAATTCAAATTGCTTAAGGCCGTCTGACAAAGCCCATTTTTTCCTCATCAAAAGGGGCTTGCTCAACGGCTGGTCGCTGGCGTGGAACTTGGACGCATATCATTTTTCAGTCAAACGTAAGTACCTACCCATTTTTGTTTCTTAATTATTGCCTCTCGCCATATAGCCACATTGTTGCTGGTGTGCCCGATAACACCAAATCATTTAAGTGACCATCCCACCTTAACATTAGTTTTGAGTTGAGATAGTCAAATTGGTGGCCATGGCCTGCAAATACCGGTTTGGGCACTTACAACATCAAAAAATGCTTTAATTCGGAGATATGGAATTTCAAACTTGCAGTTTTCGGATTCTAAGGGGCTAATGCATTGGGATGCCCCCTTAGAATTTATGACGTCACCGGTGATCTAACAATTTTAAAACCTTATACTAACATCTTTGTGAAGCAGTGGTGGTATATGCTATTTGCGCACAACATCTGCCGCAAGGCGCAAACGCTGCACTTCCAAAATGAGGTTGCTAGAAACAGCGGAGATCCCAAAAAAGTAAACAAAAGTAAAAGTCTAATATTTTGAAAACCGGTGAATATCTTTCGGTGAAATTTGGTAGATATTCATTTTTGCTCTTTCTGAACCGAGCGAAATCACTTTTATGCCAATTCATTAACTTTTTGAAGGTGGGAGGGTCCCTTTAATCATTGCCTGCCCATTTCAATGCCTAAGTATCATGACTCATGCCAGTTTCACAAACAGCACAAATTATGCTATTCTTAAAATAAATGTTCTGAAATATACTTGCTTTGAATCAAAATACATACCTATAAGTGTTTGAGATAGACCTAGAAATGTGGTGTCTTGTTCTAAGCAGTTTTTGAAATCTGCTCAAGATGCAGCTTAACCAGCAATCAAATTTTGTATATACCAAACTGGTCATTTTAAGTCAAGCTGCTGTTGTTTTACTTTTTTGTCCATTTCCGAAAATAATTGGATGGAATAACCCCCTAAGTGACAAAGTCAATGTTGAAAACAAATGGTAAAACAAAAGTTTTTCAATCCACAGAACATTCACATGACATGCACTTGCGTAGGTGCACGTGTGCTCAAATTGTAAAGAGAAATGACAAAGGTATTTGTATAAAATGGGAAATAAGAAATAAAAGCAAGCTGGCTAATGGCTATATAAACAGCTTGGTAGGTACCTATATCAATATGTGAAGACAAAGTCTGCCTGGTATGTAGGTTGATAGGTTGTAGGTTGGTTGGTTGTAAGGTTATAGGTTGGTAGGTTGTTCCTGGTTAAAGGCTACTAAATACCAGTAAAACGCCTTTTGGGCGAAGAACGAGCGAGCGAGATAGTGAGCCCTGCACGTGCAGAAGGGCGAGAGGGTACTTCCAACGGGCTTGTGCAAAGCACCCTTCTAACCGGTCGCTAGCGGTGTACCAAATTTGAACGCAATCGGCCCAGCCGTTCCGGACATCTGGAAGCGGCATTCTGCACGTGCGCACGTGCAAACGGGGTCCAAAATGACTTTTGCACGGCACCCTACTAACCGGTCCCCAACCGTGTACCAAATTTGAGCGCAATCTGCCCAGCCGTTCTCGAGATCTGGAAACGCCCCCTGCACGTGCGCACGTGCAGTAGCACCCTAACCGCAACACATGGGAATGCATTGCCTGGTGGGTGCCTACCTGTATGCCAAGTTTCAGCGAAATCACCCCAGTAATTACCGAGTTACTGAAATGGGAACAAATTTGGCACCTCTTATTGTTGTATTTTGCACGTGCAGTGGGGGTCACTCACATAGATGAAGAGTATCCGACCTTTGGTAGAAGGGATGCAGCTACCCTATAAAAATGACCGCAAGACAATCGCTCAAGCCGGTGCTGAGATATGGGCCTCTCAAAATCATTACTTTTGCAAAACTGCTTGAACACCCTTGACTTTTCACGTGGCACGTGCCACGGCGGTCACTGAGATGTATCAAAAGTAGTCAATTACGGGGTAGAAGGGATGGGGCTACCCAACAAAAAAGACCGCAGGCCAATCGGTCCAACGGTTGCTGAGATATAAGCCTCTCAAAAGCGTTACAGGCCGGGCCGGGCCGGGCCGGGCCGGGCCGCTCATACTGAGATTTTCCCGTTATATTGAAAAGACTCACTTCGCTCGCTGCGCTCGCTCGCTCGTAACTAGATTAGTAGGCAAGGTTATTTTAGGCTAGATTATGTTTTTATCTACTCAGACTTCATCTTCACATTTCCCAACAGTTCAAGCAGTTCCTAAAGTGAAGCAATGTACCTTACCATGGAAAATGTAATAATTTCATATCACTTCACATATCTTTGACAGTTGCCTTCAAATTTTGCCAGCAACTCAGAAAAAAGTTGATGCACAAAATAGTATGAGGCAGCCTTATTGATGTTTTCACTTTAATGATTAGCTTTTGGTGTGGTTAATTGAAATTTGTAGCAGACTGGCAGCCACCAAACTCACATTCACATATGGAAACTGACAGCCAGCAGTTTCTGGTTGTTGCAACTGGCATCAGAGGCCAGTTTTACTATGCTTAAGTATATTTTTCATTGCTTTAAGCGCCTTAGCTATAAGTCCACATAGGGCCTGCATACTTTCAACACTTGCCAGCCAACTGAAAATACCACCTAACTCTTCATTTTACTTTTTAACTTTCTGATCATACTTCATTGCTATCGCTCGCTTCATGCCATATTCAGTTATGCACTTTGAGCAATCAGACAGGCTTAAAAAATCCAACTAAAATGGACAGTTTTTATTCTCCCAAGTTCTCCTCAAGTCACAAGTTAAACTGACCACATAAAAAAGTATTATGTGCTTCATGTACCTGGCCAAGTTTTGGTTGGCTCTAGGCAAAAAATAAAAAACTGCCATTATTCTGTTGGTAAACCATGGTTGTTACATGGTTGTTGCATAAACTTTCCTAAGCTGGTTAGTCAGGAGGCTTAATGATGAAATTTTTAGTTCTTTCTAACTTATTAGTTCTATACATTCGCTGAAACATGTATGAATTTGGCTTAAATAATCTTTTCATTTCCTTTAACCAATTGAAGGTAGTAGGGCGAAAATGCTGTTTTCCTAACCAAGTTGCAATTTTCTTTTAGTTGTTCCACAATCTTGCCCCACTGGCCACTTTTTGATATTTCACCTTATTTCTAACAGAAGTTTGAGCAATATTTCTTTTTATGAAATATAATTGAATACTGGTGGACTGCCCAATGTCCATATCTGCTATAATAATAGCATTATCAATGATTCATCCATACTTTGAATTACAAGTATTACAGCTTGTGGAAATGAATGCAGCAAATTTGAAATTCCTTGATAAACAAACATTAGACATCTGCATTCCTACGTGTTGCATATTAACCAGATACCTGCAAGAGAGCCCGCGACATTGTAAACACCATTAAGAAGGACCCATATTCATGTACTGCACCTGGCTTAGTGAACCAATTAGCAGATCATGGAATCGCTAACCAGACTGCTGGTGAGTGCCCAATCTAATCCTAAGCAGATTGCAGATTTGTTCCTGCTGTCAATTATCTCGTAAACAGTGACATTGATGGTAGGAGCTGGGTGGTGCTCCCATCGACCGCCGTCCGATGTGTGGCGCTGCCGCTGCCGTGCTGCTGCTGACGGCCAGGTGGCGCTGGTGCCGCCGACTGGTAACGCCGACTCCGCCCGGCCGGCCGGACACAGGCGGCGTCACTGTCGCCGGTCCCCGGCCGCGGGCAGAGGGCGCGGCCCTCGGCCCCGGGAGAGCCTCTGTGGCGGCCCTGGCCGGTGTCAGAGGACGGCGCCGCCGGTGGGCGGCCCACTGAGTGAGCGCTGTGTCCCGCCTGTGCCGGCAGAGCGGCTCGACCATGACGCAGCCGTCGGCGGGCGCCGCGCTGAGCGAGGTGCTGGCCCAGCTGGAGGAGCACCAGCCCACGCTGCCGGACGCCGTCACCGCCCACTACCTGGCAGAGGCCGGCCTGGATACGGACGACCCGCGCCTCGTCCGGCTCATCGCCATCGCCGCGCAAAAGTTCGTCTCGGACGTGGCGCACGACGCGCTGCAGCTGTACAAGATGCGCCAGGCCAGCCTGCCCTCCAAGAACAAGGCCAAGGACAAGAAGTACGTGCTGACGCTGGAGGATCTGACGCAGGCGCTGGCTGATCACGGTATCCAGGTGAAGAAGCCGGCCTACTTTGTCTGAGTGCAGCCTGCCGAGGGGGAAGTGGCGAGCGACTGGGGGGGTGGGGACCAGTGCTGCCTACGAGAAGTGTTGAAAGGGGAGGGGCGCATACCTGAAATGGTATTGGTGTAAGACATGTTCGCCCTAAATCATTCCGCTGAATGAGTGGTGAATGCTCGCGAAAAGTGACGGTCCGTGGCGTGCTGAAGTGTATTTTGTCGGGGGGCGGGGAGGAGGGGTTGTAAGGAATTAAAAGTAGCATCACCCAGTGTTCTTTTCTGGTGCTGGACTGGATACCATTTCGTTTTCTGTGCTTCATTCAGTGTGTGCATTTCCGTGTGCGTCCCTATCGAAGTACCCACCGCTACTCGTTTGCGTTCAAGCCTTTCGGTGATCACTGCGTCTCACACTTACATTGTTTGTCATTGGCTCCTGCTCTCAGTGCTACCTGCTGCCGCGCTTCTCGACATGACTGTATGACTGGTCGCGCTTTTTGAAAATAAATCTACAATAATGTTACACGATGTTTTATCTCTGGTTTTGAAATGCCAATACCTACCAAGAGCGACTCTGTATGACGTTCACAAGCCCGAAACTAATGCCTTGCTCCGTCAGGTCCCATGGGATTGGTTTGAGTAGCTATCAAGCCTTACTAAGCTAGTGGGTCGTTTCTGACAAACTACACTTAAAAGTCAATTAGTCAGCAGTTATTCTCAATCACTTCGTTTGTTAATTGCTGTGACCGGGAAGGCGCAGTGGCGCTGCTGAATTACGTTAGATATCTGGCACTCCGCTCCTCATTGCGGGAATAAACCATAGGAAAGATGGTGTTGTTTACCATCATATAAATAACGGCTAAACCATGTAACATCATGCTTTTCGTAATTACGCTTTACACCGTAAACACGTAATGATTGAAATGTCGCCACTGAACTGCTCATTACCAACGTATGATTGTAGGTAACCAATGTGACACGTCTGGCGATTAATGACTAGGCATGCCGTTCATGTCTGAGCTGCCGACCTAACTGATCACGTGACTGACGCACCCCTCACCCTAGTGTTATTGATATTGGCGCCGTGCGATGGGCGTGCCGACACGTGGGGTCCGTTGGTCACTGAGTGGTGACTCAGCACCAACCACTGCCGGCGGGCCTTTCATCGGACCGATCCAGGGCCGGCAGTGATCTGAGCGGCCGCCTGACCGACTGGGTCGCCCCGGGCCCACCGCCACCCTGGGTCCCCCTGCCGTCATCCGGCGACCTCAGCGGCCGGCGGTGGCGCCCGGGGGCTATCTATAGCGCCGACGGCGGCGGCCGAGGTGTCTGCCGGCCGTCTGCGCGCGCGCCGGCCGCCGGCTCTGACGCCGCGCCGCGCCGGCCTCTGTCGTCAGGTCCAGTGCTGCCGCCGTGATGGCCTCCGACCGGCCGCAGCTCGTACAGGCGCTCTACTCGTTCAAGGCGACCAACAACGACGAGCTGACGTTCAAGAAGGGCGACGTGATCACGCTGACCCAGTGCGATGACGCCGACTGGTGGGAGGGCACACTGGGCGATACCACCGGCTGGTTCCCGGCCAACTATGTCAAGGAGTGCTCCGCGGCAGGTGAGAGACCGGAGGGGGGGGGGGGGGCACGAGCGATGGATTGAGGGCTTCCTGTTCACTGTTGTCTTGTGTACCTATGCTTTGTTTGGCTATAAAAGGTGGAACTGTTTTAGCGGTGAAGTCAGCATAGTAGTTCGGACTTGCGGTGCCATTTTATCAATCGTCGGTGTATACTGTCGCGTGTAGTGTTTCTTGCTGCATCTGCCGAGTATTTGAGTCCAGCGTCGTTAGGTCTTGAATTCGGGTGAAACTGTGCATGAATTGTAACCCGGTTATCAATGCTGCAGATTGTTGTCATCACCTCGAGCGTTTAATCTTTAATCAATGTCTTTCGGACATAACTATTGGCCCAAACAACCTGCCTCAAATGACAGCGAGCCAAAAGCATTTACCGTTTGGTACGGCTCAATTCGCTTCAGGGATCACACCCTGGTTTTGCTCGTCTGCGTTGAATCTATCCGTAGTTAACTAATAACTTGGTACGGAACTAGTTACCATTGACGTTTAGCTAGGTAGGTAGATAGGAAATGCAGCGACGTGTATCGCAGTTGTTATTTATTCCTCCTCTCGCTTTCCGCTGAGGCTGACGCAGCTCTCGGGCCATGCGTCCTCACGCGGCGTCTCAGCGGCGCTCGGACCCGCTCGGACCCGCGCTCAGTTCCGACCCGGCTCTGTCCCCGTGTCGGCGCGGCGGTGTCCAGAGCCGAGCCCCCGGAGCCAACCTTGACACGGGCTCAGACGGTCGCTCTCCGACGCCTGAGTCGCCGATCGCCGCTGTCTGCCGGCCAACACCAACACGGCAGCGACGTCACTCGGCCGCCAGCCTCACTGCCCCCGGAGGGCAGCGCCCAGCCTCACTCAGCCCCGCTGCCCCCGGAGGGTAGCGCCCAGCCTCAGTTAGCCCCACTGCCCCGGAGGGCAGCGCCCAGCCTCACTCAGCCCCACTGCCCCCGGAGGGTAGCGCCCAAAACGGCGTCAATCGGCCCCACTGCCCCCGGAGGGCAGCGCCCAGCCTCACTCAGCCCCGCTGCCCCCGGAGGGTAGCGCCCAGCCTCACTCAGCCCCGCTGCCCCCGGAGGGTAGCGCCCAGAACGGCGTCAATCGGCCCCACTGCCCCCGGAGGGCAGCGCCCAGCCTCACTCAGCCCCGCTGCCCCCGGAGGGTAGCGCCCAGCCTCACTCAGCCCCGCTGCCACCGGAGGGCAGCGCCCAGAACAGCGTCAATCGGCCCCGCTGCTACCGGGGAGCGCCCAGTCTCAGAGCGGTGACCGAGCTCACCTGTCAACGCGAAAACCTGTCAGAGATGACATTCTCACCTACGGGCATCTCCGGCGGTGACCGAGTCAGGTCAGGTGCTCACCTCCAACTGCCCCTCTGAGGTGACTGTCGCTCACAGGTGATACACCTACGGGCCTCTCCGGCGGTGACCGAGCCAGGAGTTCACCTGTGACAGCCCCTAGAGGTGACGCTCTCACCTACGGACCTGGCGCGGGACGCCAACGGGGAGACGCTGCTCAATCATCGCGATCGCCCGCTCCCAATCGATAACAGGACGCGCGATGGAGGGTGCGACTCAGAGAGGCAGTGTGAGAGACGGCAAGGGACGCCGCCGGTGATGCGGCGCGCGCCGGCCGAAATGGCCCGAGATGCCGGGAATGTGAATATGACTCGGCTGTGTATGCCCTGCTCAATAACCAGCTCACTTGTCAATGAGCGCGTCCAAAGCTGCCCCGACTGCCGAACAAGGGACAAGCGTAGCTTCAATGGCGTCGCCCTGGGCTATAGTCGCACTGCTCTCGTAACTAACTACTCTTTGTGACGGAATAATCATCTAATTACGCAGAACAATGGAGCAGCCACTGCACAAATATTGTACTGTAATCTGCAGCCGTCGTGAATCAAATGCTTGTAGATTTGCAGCTTTTAATTTTCCGTAGAGATACAGAAATAAATGTGCCTGGAGTTAGGAACGCGTAAATGTAGTTTTTCTAGCCAAGTAATAATTACTGGTCAATCGGCTGTCCTGTTGTGGCACTGTGCCAACATAGTCGTCGGCTCGGTGGAGTAGACCGCTGGACAGACCACTGGACCCGCGACAGAGATTGCTGGATACTCGCCGGACCTACGGAACGGGTCGCTGGCAATCGCTAGCCTGGGAACACTACCAGGAAGGAACCTGGTCCGCCAGGCTACCGCAGTCCGACAGACCTCGCGCTAGAGCTGCGGCGTGGTGGCCTGGGGCCGGAACTATTGTAGGACAGTGAAAGGCACCTCTCCAGGGACTGGGTTCCCTGTGGAGGCGCGACCTGTGGCAGGCACTGCTCCCGACGGGCAGGGGCGGAATATCGGCTCTCGGGATCAGCCGCCAGCCCGATAATCCACGTGAGAACAGTCACACTCTGGCTGGAGTTCAGGGAAGACGGCCCGCCGAGGGTTCAAGTGGTCATCGGCCGGACGGTGGAGTGGTTGTGACCTCTCGCCGGGACCCGGACCCAGGGACACCTCAGCCGGACGGCGGGCTGACCTCTCCCCCGGCTCCTGGGACACTGCGGTCGGACGGTGGAGTAGCACTGACCTCTTCCGGCCCATGAGGCACCAGGAGTGCTGCCTCAGACCTCAGTACGCTTACTCCCCGCTACCTGGGGCACGAGCCTTGAGTAGTAAATGATATTGATGGACCTCAAGATGCGTTATCCCGTCACTGTAGGGGAGAGTGGGGCAAAGCGGCCACCCTAACGCTTCTCACGATGCCAACGCTTGATTTTTAAACTTGGAAAGATTCTTTCTATTCCAATGTGATCCCTATTAAGTTGCCTTTTATTTCAACTGCGTTTTATTTCCAAAGGCGTTCACATATGGAAGATATCGACAAAACTTTAAACCTATGCATATTGGCCACTTTGCCCCATACCCTGGGGCAAAGCGGCCACCGGCGTCTTCTCAAGTCCCGATATGAGAAACAACATAGTTGCCTAATGTACGACTAGGGTATTTGATGGTGACAAGGTTTAAGCGAGGACGGTTGTTTACTTTATCATCTTCCACCTGTAGGTAAACAAAGAAAGGATTTTCATGAAAAAAACATTTATTTGCATTATTTGGTAACTCATGCAACTGAAAAGTGGCCAAGATGAATGCATGACGACACATTTGAATATAAATAATGTTTTTTATCCAGATGGAAACAACTTATGGCCAATAGGGGGGTGGCCACTTTGCCCCGGCCACTTTGCCCCGCGCATACCGTCCGAGACAAAAATATTCCAGCTTAGCTTTTAGTGGGGTAAAAAACATTAAAATTGGTAGAATGCATGTACGATAACCATGCAATGCATGGACAAGAACGTTTATAAAAAAAATTCAAACGGTTATGGAATAACATAACATTTAAAAATTGTAAACATAGTTGGTAACCTGGCAAGAAATGCTTTTCCGTGTTTCACAGAACACTGGTGATGGGCCTGAAACCCCGGTCTAGCTCATTCGAACGACGGTGAAGAGAAGTATAATTGGAAACCATAAATTGGAAATGACGCCAGCTACGAAGGGCTAAAACGATGGGTGGCCGCTTTGCCCCGGGTGGCCGCTTTGCCCCACTCTCCCCTACTGACCCGTGCCTCTTGCCTCGAGCCGAGCCTGTGTCGGTATTGGCGTATGGGCTCATCCGTCCGCAGTTGCGAGTTTTCCTTTTTGTGAATCTGCTTGGGTCTACACCAGTGTCTCGAACGTGTTCCGTCTGTCCCTGCTTTGTGTACTGAAGTGCGCCTCGTCTAATGCTGCTCTGGCGTATTCTGCCGTCTTGCCCTGTTCTGTCATATGTCCCGTCTTTCTTGCGCTGTTTCTGACCCGTGCCCTGCCGTCAGAGTCGCAGCACACTGACTGTCCCCCGTTCCCCGGCCGTCAGAATCGCAGTACACTGACTCAGTCCCGTTCCCCCGCCGTCAGAGTCGCAGCCCACTGACTCTCTCCCGTTCCCCGCCGTCAGAGTCGCAGCATACTGACTCAGTCCCGTTCCCCGGCCGTCAGAGTCGCAGCAGTCGGCGGCGCCTATGGAGCTGGTCAGCCAGCAGCGTGTGTACCGCTCTCTGGTGCTACAGGACATCATCGACTCGGAGCGCGCCCACATCAGCGAGCTGCAGACGCTCTGCAAAAACTTCCTCCAGCCGCTCAGCCGATCAGACGTGTGAGTAACGGAACAGTGAGCAAACATCTAGCCGATCAGACGTGTAACTGAACAGTAAACATACACCCAGCCGATCAGACGTGTAACGGAACAGTGAACATACGCCCAGCCGATCAGACGTGTAACTGAACAGTGAACACTGAACATACACCCAGCCGATCAGACTTGTGTGTAACTGAACTGAGTGGACATACACCCAGCCGATCAGGCATGTGAGTAGCTGAACAGTGAACATACACCCAGCCGCTCAGACGTGTGAGCACCGGGGCAGGGATTCAGACGCGCTCCCATGGTTGATAAGCTGAACTGAGTGAACAGTGAACACCGACTTAGCATGCATTCAGTAACTGAGACGCGTGATTAGCTGAGCACGCATTCAGCGCGGCTCCCATATTCGATAACCGGAACCTGTATTTAAACCCTCTGATGTATGAGTTGTCGAACAATTGAACATTCGGCCGATTCGATAGGTGATGAAGTGGTTGACCATTTTGTCAGCGGCTAAGCCACTTGGACGTAATGAGAGTTAAGTCCCCCTATGCCATTCTGTGAGTTATAGCTGTGTGTTACTGGCTTGGGCGCAAAATGACCTCGTAGTCGGCGCGCCCCTAACCCCCAACAAACAAACAAACAACAATGTGTTACTGGCTGTTGAGCAGTGAACACGCGTTCAGCGTCTTGTGAGGTTGGTCGGTCGCTGTGCGTGGCCGAAGTCTCCACTGTCATTGCAGGTCGTCTGATTGAATTGCGGAGCGTCGCGTGTCATCGCTACTCGCTCGATGTGCGTGGCCGAATGACTGGGCTCGATGTCCGACACGAGAGAAGCCGAAAGGCCGCTGCTGGTGCCTGCAACTCGGTCGACTGCTCGGCATATTGCGCCAGAGGGACATAAAACTCCGTCCTGACCGCATGAAAGGACTTGACTTCATGCTATCCAAGAGTTTCGCATCGTCTGGATTGTTAAGTAGGGTCCATTTCTTTCAAATAATAGCCTGGGACTCCACTCCATTAATTTTTCTAACCAGATCCATGTCTGGGATGACTCTATGGGCGGGGATGACCGTGTCCAATATGAGTGTCGCCGTGGCGGTCGCCTCTGCTCAATGTGCCGTCGGGGACGGACACGGACCGTTCGGCGTCAGCGTTATGACTATTGATTCCGGCTGACGGTCGTCGCGTCCGTCGGGCGCCGCGGGGCCACTCACGGTCTCCTGCCGCCGGTCAGGTCAGCCCGACACTCGGTCACGCCCGGCGCCGCGGCCCGTCCCGTCAGTCGGGCGCCGGGGGGCCACTCACGGACTCCTGCTGCCGGTCAGGTCGGCCCGACACTCGGTCACGCCCGGCGCCGCGGCGGTGCTCACGGGCTCCTGCCGCCGCCGGGCGCCGCGGGGTCACTCACGGACTCCTGCCGCCGGTCAGGTCAGCCCGACACTCGGTCACGCCCGGCGCCGCGGCCACGCTCGATTGACTGCCACGGTTGGGTCGGTGAGATACTGTCCGTGGCTCCAATAGCCGGCTGCCGGAGCCGGCACGGTCGGGGTCCGACGGTGGGCCCGTCCGCTCACATCCGCTCAGTGATCTGCCGCGGTCTGATTGGTCCGGTAGTGTAATTAGTGGCGATCCAGGATTGGTGGTGTATTGTTCTGGTGCTATAGTTAGGCTGGGTGGTAATACAGGCGCCGGAGGCCTGCCGTCCATAAGATGTGTCTTATCTGGGTTCTTGGTCAGTCAAACAACACAACACTTCTGGAGTACCGGTCACGTGTGGAGAGAATGTTCGGTAAATCGGCATGGCGGGAACATGAATTTGATACGGCAGAATCACACCCGTCTTAATGATTCTGCATTCTTTATTGATCGTGATTTTAAAATCTGCCGTTTCTTTTAATTGATCCGATGATCTAATAATCCAACTGACTGCTCGGCCCGCCACAGACCCGTTCACTCTTGCCCAGCCAGTCTGACCGAAGTGTCAGCTCAGCCAGCCCCGCTGAAGTGCCGGCTCTCCCGCTGTGACCTTTTAGCGGCCGGCCGGGCGGCCCGGCCGAGTCGCCGGCCAGCCGCCCGGGCACAGCGGCCGGCTCAGCCGCCGCGGCGCGATTGCCGTAATGTCATTATTTGCCCGGCCGGGACGGCTGGAAACGGTCCGTGTCCCGGGGGAGTCGGCTAGAGCGGAGACTGGGGATGGTCAGCCGGGGCGGGAAAGAGAGGTACTCCAGGGAGGGACTTCTGTCGGATCTCTCGCCGCTGGGGCTCGAGAGAGGTCCGTTTACCGAGAGAGGTGCGTGTGCCGAGGACCTTGTGCCGTTTCGCCTGGGAGGGACGGGGCGGAGCTGATTCGCTGGGGGTCGAGAAGGAGGTCCTTGCGCCGCTTCTCTTCAGAGAGTGACGAGACGGGTCCGGTAAGGCGGGCTTTGAGAGAGGTCCGACGCCTGGAGCGACGCCGGCCATCGGAACTGGCCTGGGAGCTAACTCTCGTCTGGCCCCTGTCCTGCGGCACTGCGACTTCAGGATCTACATCGTCCGCAGATTGTGGCGACGGCGCTTACCTACATTTTCTACCTATATGGCTGCTGGATATGGACTTACCGTGTTGGCCGCGGGTTGGAACAGACAACCAATATCCGGGTGCATATTACATATATTGTAGCTCCGCCCTTCATAACGCAGGGTTCTCTTTTGAGCTACGATATTTGTTGTAAGTGCCTGCCACGTACCCAGGTGAAATTTAGCTCGGCAGTTCTGGCATCTCGTTAAAAGTTGCCGGTGTATTTTACGGCAAAACTTTGCTTCTGCATTTTCTGAGTTTCCATACAAGGTTCGCTACACTTCGTCTTGTCAAAATACGACTGAAGTTACGCTGGACAGTATGTTCCTGGCGGCCCTCCGGCAAGTGCTTCATGTGCAACGCTCCACTCCTAGTTGCCAAGTCACAGGGCTCACCTGGGTAAACTTTGCCGCAGTCGCTGTTCAATAAAGCTGCTTTACAACCTTACGACGTAAGACAGTCAGTAGACGAGATGAAACCTTGCAAATTTATGGAAATTTGTCAACCGAAGCTAGTTACCTATTGCTTGTCATATACCTTACCTACCGGTTCCGTTTCTCCGAACCTCATGAGCTCGACTGCCAAGCGCACAACTGACTGTTGCGCCCTGTTCGGTACCATCCAGTCCAGGAAACTTACTGGTTATGTTTCGTGCGATAATCCTGATAGATGTCACCCCGGCAGACTGTCTTCGGCTGAGGACCGCCAGCTGACCGGTAGCCTGGAGGAGGTTGTGACCCACGTGTGTTGTACGGTGACCCCCGTGTGGAGTACCCTGACCCCTGTGTGGAGTACTCTGACCCCTGTGTGGAGTACTCTGACCCCTGTGTTATACCCCTGCAGTCTGTCGGCAGCCGAGCACCGCCAGCTGACCGGTAACCTGGACGAAGTGCTCGGTGAGCACGGCCGACTGCTGGCCGAGCTCGAGCTGCAGGCGGCCGTTCAGCAGCGCCCGCAGCGCGCCGGCCACGTGTTCCTCAGCCGCGCGGCCGACCTGAAGCGCGTGCACACTCAGTACTGCGCCGGCCACCCGCGCGCCGTCTGTGTGCTCGACAAACACAAGTGAGACTTGGGCAGGGAAGGAGAGTAAACAGGGGACTGGGGAGTCGGGAACAGAGGTAGGGCAGGCGCGATTTATTGGTTATTGGTGGCTAAATGACCGAAAATATTGGTTACCGTGAGCGAATGCGTTTTCTTCGCTATTTATGACTGTTTTTGATGAGATACGGCATGTTCAAAGGGAGGCAACGTGCAGTTATGTAGGTGCGTAGTCTGGCTTGTGTAGCCGATATATAATTCTTGGTGAGTCCATTTATCTAGCGGCTAGCCATTTGACCCGCTGTTCCCGCCCACTGCGGCCGCCCGCTGACCCTCCACCTTCTGTGCCGCCGCAGGGACGCCCTGAACGCGTTCATGGAGTCGCAGGGCGCCCACACGCCCGGTATCATGGTGCTCACCACCGGTCTGAGCAAGGTGTTCCGGCGGCTCGACAAGTTCCCATGTGAGTGGCCGGTGCGGCTTCGTCCGCCCCGGGAGGGATTTGTCCTGGAGCCGCGGCAAATCTCAGTAGCTCCATTCTTGACAGCCTGTAAAACATGGCTGGGATGTTTCGCCGTGTTTACGACCCCTGAAAGGCCATGGGATGGTAGGATGCCTGGTAGTTTTATAAGTTTTGATGCGGTGCGAATGGATAAGTGTTTCGCAGGTTTCAAACAATTTGGGTGTAGTACGAATGCCTAGATGTGGTTAGTAACCCTAGTAACCCTGTTCTCAGTTGTTTTCTAGTGTCTCTACTCTCTGGTAGCTGGCTACGTTCCAGTTACGTTTCCCTGCCTCCCATTGTGTGCGTTAGCTTGCTGTCGCCACTGTGTCTATCCACGACTTCTGACAGCCTTTGGTTCCCACCAGTCGCCCCACTACCACTGCTGTGTTGTCCAGCTGTGTCCCCTCCCTCCCTACCCTCTCGCTCCAGCCCGCCCCATTCCCCAGTTAGCGCTGTGTTGTCCAACTGTGCCCCCCCTCCCTCCCTCCCGCCCAGCCCGCCCCGCTCCCCAGTCAGCGCTGTGTTGTCCAGCTGCCCCCCTCCCGCCCCACCCAATGCTGTGTTGTCCAATGTCCAGCTGCCCCCCCCCCCGCCCCAGCCAATGCTGTGTTGTCCAGCTGCCCCCTTCCCGCCCCAGCCAATACTGCGTTGTCCAGCCGTACTCCCACTCCCGCCCCATCCCGTCCAGCTCCCCAGCCAGCGCTCTATGTTGTCCAGCCGTACTCCCCCCTCCCCGCCCCACCGCCCCTTCTGTTGGCGCTGCGCCGCCGGGCCGAGCCGAGCCGAGTGGGCGGCCGCCGGCGGCCGGCTGCCTACCTCAGCGGCGTTTTTGTCTCGGCCCGTCTGCCAAGGCGAGCTGCCAACGCGAGAAAGTGTAAAATGCGCCACCGATGATCAATGCAGCGAAGTGGTTGTACAGATTAATACAGGGCGAGATTCTTGTTCGATAAATGCAATAGATTGAGATGAAATCAATCGTACGCGGTTGAAGCTCCGATGATCAATATGTATGATTTGTGAAGGTGATAAGGGATGAGGATTAGTGCTGATTTTGTTTGATCGGCTGGAATCTCTACTCATTGAAGCTGCCAGCGAGCGCCGTGTAATCCATTTTACTGCACTTGAACATCATGAAAGGTGGCAATTTTTAATGCAGCACGATCGTCGATCAGCCCTAGGCTTATGCGATGAAATGATATGACATCATTGCTCTTTCTTCGAGATGGTATTTATGCTCATGTCCGTTGTTGCAGGCATGCTTCAGGAGTACGAGCGTCACTTGGAGGAGGGGCACCCGGACCGGGGCGACACGCAGCGCTCTATCCACGTCTACAACGAGATCACGGTACGGAAATGTCCGCATCTACTGCGAGATCACGGTAAGGGCCACCCGGACTGGGGCGACACGCAGCGCTCCATCCACGTCTACAACGAGATCACGGTACGTTATACACTCCTACGGCGAGATCACGGTACGGTATACACTCCTACGGCGAGACCACGGTACGTTATATACTCCTAAAGAGAGATCACGGTAGGGGCACCCGGACCGGGGCGACACGCAGCGCTCCATCCACGTCTACAACGAGATCACGGTAGGTTACACAGTCCTTCAGCGAGATCACGGTAGATGCTGGTCAGACAGACTGTCTGAGTATTACCGAGTAGTTACTGGCCTTGACCTAGCTCTGATGTCATACCCACCTGGCGTTATTCGTATTGCCCGTATCCAAATTAGTTTGCAGCATCCTGAAAATACAGATACCGGTACCTACGACGCAGCTACCTCAAACAGCCTCCGTCGGAATCAGGCGACGCATCCGACGCCCACAGCGTGTGACGCTGTCAAGCCGAACGCCGCCCCAATTCGCCGCTGTGTGGCTGCGACCATCCAGATAACCGGCCGCCAATGGGCCGTGAGATGACGGATGGCGCTCTGGACACGCCACTGCGCTGATGGGGCTGAGGCGCCGGGCGCGGCGGCGGGCAGGACGGCCGGGGCTGCTGCGCTGTGATACCCGGGGCACATAGTGTCAAACGGGGCGGCAATTATGGCCGGAATGTACGCTCCGTGTGAGCTATGTCCGGAATGTCAGTAGCGGCGTCCGGGCTGACTGCCCAGAGTTGCCCGGAGTTTGGTCTGACGGCGACGGACAGTCAGGGATGTCAGGGACGGCTGTAAGGGGCTAATGACGTCACAGGACCACTGTCCGACATTGATATACCTAGACCTAGTGTCCGACGTGAATGACGCAAGGGACAGGACAGCTGTTCGGCGTTGATGACGTCAGGGATGGCTGTCCGGCGAGATTGACCTCTCGTCCGACTGTCCAGCGTTGATGACGTCAGAGAATACTCTCTAAGTTGATGACGTCAAAGCCGACGTCTCCGGACGGCTTGTGTTGGTGGATCAGACGCGTCCGAGCTATCTAAGGAACGGGCTCCGGGAATGAATGGCATCTATATGGAGCTCAGCTGATGTGGATCAGTGTCCTCTTCGCTTTGGTATTCGTGCTTTTTGTACATACATTGATACAAAATTATCATAGATATTGTTAGATATGATTGATATTGTACTATCTTGTTTGTCACATCCTGTTGTGTTCAATCATTGTCACACCCTGTTGTGTTCAATCATTTGTGTTTGGATTTATTTAGGTACTGCCCAGAATATTATTGTTCACAGTCAAGACAAACATTTTTTGATATATTCAATCGCAACAATTATAACAGTGTTACCTTTTAATTGCACATAATTTGGAAATCATCTTCAGGCTGTCTTCGTTGCGTGTGAAACTCGACACCGCGTCTGAAATGCCTCAAACCACATCATGCAATGATAGTTCTGATTCCTCGATGTAAAGCTACTGAGATGATCGCCTTGTTTTGTGTTGCTTTGTCCGTAAAAGCGTATAGATGATAAATCGACCGTTACCTTTTCAATTATGTTGCCAGTTGCCCTGATATCCGGTATGAATTATAGCTGCGCGTTTGTTGATGTGGATTTAACTACTTTGTCTGTTGCTGTGGGGTTGTGTCATCAGCAATGTGACGTCTCCGTGTTTGTGTATTTCAGACGAGCTGTGCCACGATCCGTCGCCAGAAGGAGACGGAGCTGGAGATTCTCTCCGGAAACATCCGCCGCTGGGAGGGCGAACAAATGGCCAACATGGGTACGTACCGGCTCACCACCCTGTCTCTGTGATATAGACTGGCTCTCGGAGAAGCCGGTAAGCCTCAATTAGCTTGGGTCCCGATAGGTTATCAATGGTATCCATAAACCAACCACCCAACTAGTGCTAACTCGGCACGGAAGACAGACACCACACATCAGCATTGAATTCAGCATAACGAAATTACAAAAGGTCAAAAGGTCTCCGGTCCCGAAAGGTCACGGGTCGCGCTAGACTGCGTCCGTCGGGCAGCCGGTTCATTTCGCAGCCTTCCCGTGAATTTGCCGTGATGGATGCTATCTGCCGCGGTGAGGGACTCATTGTGAGCCCGGCTGGAATATCAAAGGCCGAGCAGCCCGTGAACTATGGCCGGGCGTCAGCCTTTGAGTGTGTTTCATCTGTGCACGCGACGGCCGCCTTGTTGAACAGCCGGGTGCCCGACGTCCGTACCAGCGGCAGCGGAATGGTGACCTTTGTCGGACGAAGTTGCCGCGCGGAACCCCCGGTTACAGCAGTCCAGGGGGGTACGCTCCGGCTGTTTAGCATTACGAAAAATGGTGACAGACGTTTGTGGAGGATTGTCGACGAACTCTTGTTCCGCGAGCAGTACTTACACGCTAGCGGAAAATTCACCAATCAGCGCTCGGCAGTACTCGACGCTGATTGGTCCGACGCTCGTGACGAAATTGCGGGGGACCGCAGTTATTCTCTATGGACCCGAATAGGCTTTTGGATTTCGGAGGAGTTTCTTTAAAATTATATGCTGTTTGGAGCTGTTTTCGAGTTGAAATATATTTCTTATGACTGTTAGCTATATAATGACACCATAAAATCATGATTTTAATAAATATTACCGATGTAATATCGGCCGAAAAGACATGCTGTCATGGCACGGACTGCCCTGCGGCTGATGTGGGGCCCCTAGTGCCAGCGTATGGTAATAATGGGTTGACGAAGGGTTATTGGAGAAACTTAGAGCCCCTTTAGCATTCAGTATAGGGTCATCAGAGGCCGGGAATGTCCATCAGGGGTCTGAGTAGGCCTGTCATAGGGGCATACATGACACATCATGGCCCATGGGTCAATGTAGATCCATTAGGGGCCGTTGAAGGGCCATCATTGTTCAGCGTGGGCTCGCAATTACCTCTGATGGGCATATGCCGTGCCCCGATGGACTAACGCTGGCCCCTGATGAACCATCACCAGCCCCTGATAGGTCTACAAAGCCCTCTGCTGGGTCCAAATTGGTCACTGATATGCCCAAATGGGCCACTGAGAAACCCGTACAACATCCCCTGACTGCACCTGCTGGACCAATGCCGTCCCCTCATGGGCCCACCACAGCTCTTGAATGACCTTTTCAAGTCCCCTGAAGTGCCTTTATTGGCCTAAATGGCCCCTGATTGACTGATGTGGTCCCTATTGGTCCTATATGGCCCCCATGAGCCCTCAACGTCGGCCTAGACAGCCTTACATTATATGCCACTGGGCCCTGTTGGGTCAGCACCGGCCCCCGATAGGCTTGCACACTGGACCCACCGGGCCTATACCGACCCATGAAGGGTCTATGTCGAACCCTCACGGACCTCCGATGACCACACGCCGACATGTGTGGCCCCATCAGCAGTGGTCCGTCTATCCCATGTACTTACGGTCTTTTTGGCCGATGTGACACCGGTAGTATATAGAATGTCATGATTAAATGTCGTTATTACACAGTCAAAAGTCACAGAAAGAATATCCAAGCTCAAAAATGGCCTCAAACCCAACAAAACTGGTATAAATCCCCTTCAAAAGCCGTAAGTCTATTAAACGCCATAGGGGAATAGCTACAGTCCCCCGCAATTTCGTCACGAGCATCGGGCCAATCAGCGTCGAGTATTGCCGAACGCCGATTGGTCGATTTCCGCTAGCCTGTAAATGCTGCTTGCGGATATAGTTTTGAACAAGTGAGGGTCGCGGCTACTAATTATCGCTTGTCACCACTTTTTCGTCGGGAACGTTCTACCTGGTTTATATAGCCTTGCAGCAGTCTGAGCCCAGTGCGGCCCAGTGCGTTCGCAGCTGCTCGCCAGGCCGGGCCGTCATTTGGCATTTACGCTGCGGATGTGTAACCAGTGTCCGCGTACGGGGCTGGTCAACACACTTCACTCAGCATATTGGGCAGTGTGCGTCAGAGCAATCTGATTAGGGCTGACGGAGCGTAGGAGCGATCAAAGCTGACAGAACGGAGGGGGGAGTAGCTGACGGAACGCAGTAATTGTCCTTATTGACTGACGAACGGGGGGACGGTATGACCCACTGGGACACGAATCACTGCGCTCCCAAACAAACAAAAGCAGTTCCCATCACACCGGCAAGCTTTATTGCATTCTTCAGTCAGTCGATCGTGTTTCAGTCGTTCCCGTACCTTTCCTACTTAATCGATTATTGAGCGTCCCTTGACCATCTGAGGTTCATTCTTACCTCCTTCGATTTCATTCGGTCTTCTGTATGAGTGATTTATTTCCTACCTCTCCCCGTTTCCGGACGGTAGCTCTGCGGTGTGTGATATGGGCCATTTGGGCAGTTTACCGCGGCCATTTCCGCTCTCCGCCCGCCTCCGTCCGCCTTATTTACGCGTGCGTGAGACCCGGAAACGACTCCCGCTTACTCCGCCGACTGTTCGGGGGACGGGGCGCGAGCAACCCCCCCCCCCCCCCCCGGCGGACGGGAGCCGGTGTCTGCCTTATCGACCCCGCCCCTCGCTCGCTTCTCCCTCCCTCTCCCTGTCGCCGCCTCTGCTCTACCCTCGGCCGGGGTCCGATTTCGATGGGGCGCCGCGCGCCGGTCGGTGACTCGTGACGATGACAGCTGACGTCGATCCTTCGCCGCGGGGCGTCGAGCCGGGTAATGGGGACGATCATCGACGGACATTTAGACTGACCTCGGACCTGACACTGACACGGAACTGGGTCCTGGACCTTAGGTCGAGTCCAGAGCCAGCCTCAGACGGACTGGTGGCCCCTTTTTACAATCCTAATATAGTCAGGGGTGCGGAACCGGAGCCGGAGCCGCTGGAGTCGGCACATTTTTGCCCGGAGCCGGAGCCGAAGACGGAGCCGCCATGACATTTCACCCGGAGCCAGAGCCGTAGCCGGAGCCGATCTTATTTCTCCGAAGCCGGAGCCGGAGCCTAAGCTGTCTGAAATTTCCACGGCTCCGCATCCCTGCTACCTAATAGTTGTGAAAAGATTCCAGCTGGCATTCCGCCTTGACACTCGCATTTCGTCATAATAGAAAGGCACAAGGTCACTAACTCATCCTCGCAGCGTTCCTAATTGGTTTAGAGAGTTGACCGACATTTCATCAGAAAGACGGTGATAATCGAATATATTATATAATTGTGCTTAGGTCAATTGGTATTTTATAGCATTGTGAGTTCGAGCACACGTTTTCGTCCTGATTGGAAAGGCTTAGCCAAGACATGGACGTGACATTCTAACATCATGATGGATTGCTAGCTATCATTTTGCACGACTTCCTTCTAGTGCATTATGCACTCCAGAGTCCAGACCAAACACCGATAAACAACTCCGTGACCTCTGTCATTTATCCCGTCCCCTGGACCTCTCGCTGCCTCCCGCTCCCGTCCCCAATCGGGCTGCTGCCGGTCCCCAGCTCCGGTGGGCGGTCCGCGGCAGCCCATCATCGCCAGAGCCAGACGAGAGTGCTCGGGAAAGGTCACAGCCCGGGGATGACACTCGGCTGAAGGGCAGCGGCCGCGTCCTGGGTCAGACGGGCCTGGCGGGGCGTGCTGGTTCGTGCCCCTGGGTCGGACAGGCCGGGGGCGTCGCTCTGGGCGCGGCGTCCTGGGTCAGACAGGCCGAGCGGAGTGCTCTGGTCTGGACAGGCTGGGCGCTCGGCCAAACGGAGCGGCCGACGGGGACGTCCCACCACGTCTCTGTTTGTATTCGGCATATCAGCTGGCTGTGGTCCCGGATCTTTATTGGGTCTGCATAAATTATTTACTAATTAATACCATTCATGCATGGCCCAGTCGTGTGGCCCCTGTCTCTGAATTAAATCATAGTCTTTCATTAAGACGTCTGGGTGATTTATCTCCGAACCCAAAGCGGCGTCTTCTCGAAAACACCCACGCGGCTCCCAAGTGACGACGGAGTTTGGATCGACCTGCCTCCTGGAAATAGCTGCCTATGTAGCCCATAAGGGCAGATCCGCGGAATCCCTCGCTCCGAAGCGCGCCCGACCGCGCCAATCACACAGCCGTCTTTGGACGGACCCGACCGGCGTCTTACAGAGCGTGATCTCGTCTCGGCCGCTGTGATATGACGGTCTCTGAGCCGCCGCCGGGCCGGCCCGGACGGAATGGGACGACAGAAAGGCCCGCCGTGCTTCCTTCACGGGAGCCGGAGGCCGCGGAGTGCTGATGAGATATCTGTGCTCGGAATAGTATCGGAGCGGGCCGGTGTCGTGTGTCGAGTTGATCTGACAGACGTCTGACCTACAGAGTACAGACACGTGCCACTGTAGCAGATACTTGAACTGCGCGGAGGCGTGACGCAGCGCGGTGACCGTGTCCTAACTGGTGCTCGCTCCGAGCTCCTCTCCTCAGCCACTCAGAGTTTTGGCTTTGTTTTTGACACGTGCCGGCGAACAAAAGAGACTGGCGCGTCGGCCGGGTGACGGATTGCCCCCACCGTGACCGACACTGGCTGGGAGCTCTGTTCTCCGCTCGGCCTGTCACCGTAGTCTGTCTCCAATGAGCTGTCTGTTCTCCACCGCCCGTCTCGGCAGCATGTCTTTACGGCCTGTCCGGGCAGTCTGTCTTGCTGGCTTTGCCCTACTCGGCCTGTCTCGGCGTTAGTCCGTCCGTGTCGCGGACTGTGGTTATCCTGTCCCTCTCACCGCCGCCGTCAGCCGTCAGTCGTCCCAGCTGTGACCGACACGGCCGGCCGGGTGGCGGCCGTCACCCCCGGCCGACGGCGCTGGCACGGGCGCCGCTCTGCGCCCGGGTGTGGTGGAGGTCGAGCCGTGTCTGCGGGAACCGGTGACGGCGCCAGGAACATGTCCGTCGGCCGGAAACGGTGGCTCCGGGCGGAACCGCCGCGCCGCCGCGGCTGGCACCGGTCGGCGGCGGGCACAGACGGCCGCCCCGGGCCGACCGGTCTACCCCGGCCGGTCACCTCACCTCAGTGTCACCACCCAGCGAGGCGTCACAGCCCGAAATTACCCGAGATCTGTCCCGGTATCCCTGTCTGGAATCCCTTTGAATCGGGTTATCCCATTAGTGCTGTGCGGCGCCCTATATGGAGAACAGATGGACCGGCGCTCTGAATGGACGTATTGGCCGGCGCCCGATCCGCGCTGCTTGGTATTGACCTCAGCGGAGGGATATCCGGAACGGCGATCGCTGATGGCATAACTGATGGCATCTACGAACAACACAATATCTCGGTATGAACGCTCAAAGCCATACGTTATTCAGTGCTAATCTTCTCACGTGAATGGAACTGAGTTTGCATGTTGTCATCCCCCGATCTACGCTGATGCTCAGGGATATGCCCAATCCGCTGACGTCCTGCCGAGCACGGGCCGGCGACGTTGTATTTATTTATTTGCGTGTTTTTTTTTTTTTGTCGACTGTCTGGCTGATCAACGGGTGCCGGCCGCCGTGTGTGGCCGCGGCCTGCGTCTTCTGCCGAGGTGCCGCCGTCCGTCTGACCACGCGCTGAGACTCTCCCGTCCCGCTGCACGGCTGATAACACGGGCGGCGTTACCGCCGGTCGGTCCGACTACTGCTAACCCGGCGCTGCCGGAAAGGATGGCTTGGGCCGGGTGGTATCGTCATTAGGCTCGCCAGGGAAGCTAACGCTGACTCTGGCCCTCTGTCCTCTAGTTATCCGTCGTTAGTCCGCCAGGCTGTCGCGAAGTAACCCTCGAACGGTGGTGATATTCATTCACTCTGTGATCTAAGACCCAGACAGTGAAAGAGTGTCACCGTTAATTGCACCGACATGACCCCCCTCCCCCTCCCCCCCCCACACACACATACGTCTGTCCCCGCCTGTCTGACCCTGCGTACCTTCCCACAGGTGAGATCATCCACATGGGCTCGGTGGCGGTGGGCAAGGAGCACAGCGACCGCTACTTCGTGCTGTTCCGTACTACTCTGGTGATGCTCAGCGTCTCCCCGCGGATGTCGGCATTCATATACGAGGTCAGTCGGAGGCGGGTGGCGGTGACACTGGGCGGTCCCTGATGCTGACCTGAGGGGTAGATTGGTGAGGGGGGATGCTGCTGTCAACATATGGCTAGCAGCGGTGCGTTGTTTCAATACTTGAAAATTGAAGCTATTGCAAGCCCTTTGTATTTAAGTTTATAGGCAACGCTATCAGTTCGAGCCAACCATTTCCCGCTGTTTTTTTTTTTTTTTTACCTTTTTTGCGGAAGATAATGGTATCATAAAAGCTAAGTAGTGATAGCTGATATTCTCAAGTGTGTTGTTCCTCGTGCTACCGCGCTGTTCCTTTATTTATTCAGTCGGCTCCTCTGACGGAAGCTGGCTCTACCCGGCTGTAGTGCGCCTTAGCCTCGTATCCCGCACAGCAGTCAGTCTCTGCTGTAACAGTCTCTGCTGCCCACTGTACCCCACACAGCAGACGGTCTGCTGTGAGTCTGCTGCCCACTGTACCCCACGTACCCCACACAGCGGGCAGTGGTCTCGGTGTCCCCCTAACAGCCGGGCCGCGCCGCCGGCTCCGGTCGTATTACATCATTACGGTCACACAGTCCCGCCCCGGCAGTGTTTCTCAGAAGGCGCCCCGCACCTCCGTCCCTGTGGCTGGTGGGTGACACCTTCGGCCGGTCGCCGGGGGCTGCTCTGTCCAGTATCCAGTCGGCCGGCTGTGTTTCCCCTCCCAGCCAGCTCCCCAGTTCCCGGTGTAGTCCGTCCCCACCCGTCCGCAGCGACCATAATACTGGAACCCGTGTAATCAAACGGACGCACCGGGCTCTATTGATCTGTGTGGCTGACGGGTGAGCCGGGAATGAACCCGGGGACAGCGGGCTGCTGGCCTTTCGACCGGCGCGGCGCCCTGGGCTGGGCTGGACTGGGTGATGTCACTATCTGACCGGGCTGGTGGGCTCCCGACCGGCGCGGCGCCCTGGTCTGGGTGACGAGTGCTGACCCGTGACCGGGCTGCGTGGACGTTTGGCTGGTGAACGGGCTGAGTGACGTCTGACATCACTGTCTGACCGGGCTGGTGGGCTGGGTGGCGTCACAATCTGACGGGGTTGGTGGGCTCCTCCGCAGGGAAAGCTGCCGCTCTCGGGGATCAGCGTCACCAAACTGGAGGACTCGTCTGATCACAAGAACGCCTTCGAGATCGCAGGTAGACTTGGGTGAAAATAAATTCATGAATCTATTTTAAAGTTACGTAGTTGGTTTCTTAGCCTAGCCAGTGGACTAGGCTACATTTTGGCGGACATTTTGGAAAATGATCTAAAAAATGTAAGATGTATGCGGTCATTATGAAATAAGACGCCTGTACTGCGATCAAAAATTTTGAGTAGGACTAGGGCTCAGTCAGGTGGTTTATTACACAGGGTCAGGGACCGATCCTAGTGATGATTGACTGGCGTGAAAATGAAATAAGCTCAGACAAATCAAATCAGCTTTATGATGCTGGGCGGAATAGACATCTCATTGCCGCCTGACCTTGCCTGTGTGGTGAGGTTCCAAGGACACCGGGGTGACTGCTTCTCGGCTGCTGCGTCTTCCTCCCCGCGCCGTGTGGTCAGGCGTACCCTTGTTACTCGTATCATGCATCGATAGGCTGTGCGCCTTTGACGTTTTACGTAGTTTTTTTTTTTTAGGTTATGTTGTGGGTTGATGCTACTTCTACTGTGCATCGTGTGTTATACGTTAGTAAGTGGTAATGTTTCGGATTGTGTTCGTTGCCACTGATCGGCCCGAGTTAGTACCCCTAATCACTGTCAATCACAGGCTGGTGGTACTAAGTCGGCTTGTCTGTTTGCCATAACAGCGTACTGTCGACGTCTCAGTCTATCGGCCTCTTGTCTTGCATTATTCTGCTCTCATATCCTATAGAGATCTCCCCTGCACAATACAGATACCTTCATGTGTCTGAATTGTGCACAATTTGTGTTGTAAGTCCGTCAGAGTTTCCCCAGTGGTTCGTCTCAGGTGCAGTGTGTAAGCGTATGTGTGCAGGTTGTGTGGGCGGCCGGTGCACGGTGTGGCAGACGTGTGCCCTCTGCCCCCAGGTGCGGTATGTCAATGTGCGTGTCCGGTATTGGTATGTGTCAGTGTGTGTGGGCCGCCCGTGCGCGGTGTGGCAGACGTGTGCTGCTGCCCGCAAGTCCGATGTGTGTGTTTGTGTGTGTGCGGTGTGGTAGACGTGTGCCCGCTGCCCTCAGGTCCGATGTGTTTGTATGTGTGTGTGTGGACCACCGTGCGCGATGTGGCAGAGGTGTGCCCGCTGCCCTCAGGTCCGATGTGTTTGTGTGTGTACTGTTTGTATGTGTGTGGGCCGCCGTGCGCGGTGTGGCAGACGTGTGCCCGCTGCCCGCAGGTCCGATGATCGAGCGGATTGTGGCCGAGTGCCAGAGCCGCGACGAACAGCAGGCCTGGGTGTCGCAGCTGCTCGGACAGATCCAGGCGGCGCGCCAGTCGGCCTTCCTGCCCAGCCAGCCGCAGCCCATCCCCCACACGAGCGTGAGTTTCCTGCGACACACGCCCGGCTCGGGCCGCTACGAGAGCGGCGTGCGCGCGTTCGTGGCGGCCGGCCCGCTGGCGCTGCACCAGCCCGTGCTCGAGTACGTGAGTGTGCCGTACGTGCGGCTGACGGAGCATATCGGCGAGCTGCTGCGGCGCGGCGTGCTCAACGCCGGCCGGCTGAAGCGGCTGCTGTACGGCGCGCGCAGCAGTGGCTCCGAGTCGGCCGGCCGGCGGCGCAGCTCGGTCACCTGCCGGCGACTCTCGGCCGTTCACGTGCGCCGCAAGGTGTACCGCAAGCGGCGCGGCCGGCGCGGCGGCTCCGTCTCGTCGGCCTCCTCCAGCGGTACGCTCTCGCCCGGCGTTGGCAGCGAGCAGCTGCGCTCGCTGAAACGCTGGGTGCTCGAGGGCGAGAAGTCGTTCGAGCGGGACCGCAGCGAGGCGTCGCCGCCGCCGTCTCGGACGGACACGTATCGAGTCTCTGAGCCGGCACTGCGCTCTGACAGTAACCCGTACGGCTGGATTCGCTACTTCGACGGCAGCCAGACGACGGCGGCTACAGACGAGAGCGGCCTGAGCGAGCCGGGCGGCGCCGGCGCCGGCTGGCTGTCCCTGGACCAGCTGTCTGCGGTGGGCGATCGGCCGGCGCCGGGCCGCCTGCGCCGCCTCCACTGGGGGCCGCGGCTCAGCTGGGACGCGCCCGAGCGCACCCGGTCCCTGTGCGAGCTGCCGGGCCGCGCCGGGCCGCTGCACGCCGCCGTCTGGGGCGACTCCCAAAGCCTGCCGTGCGTGGCCGGCACGGCCGGCGCCTCCACCATCTGTGTGCCCGCACCGCCCATACCGCTGCCGGACGAGATCTGGCTGGGTATTCCGTGTGGAGACTCGCAGGAGTCGCAGGAGCCCGAGCTGCGGCAGTACTACCCAGGCAGCTCGGACTCTACTCCGTCCCTGGCGGCCGGCGGGCCACGGCCCCGGCCCCCGCTTCTGACCCGCCCCGCCCCGGCCAGCGCAGAGTGTGAGGTCCCGGAGGCAGCACGAGAGCACGACCTGCCCGGGAACCGCTGGACGGGCTGCTCCGGCGTCGGCTCGGTCCTGTCGTCCGCGGGACAGCGCTCAGGCGCTGCCAGTCGCGCGTCGTCGGCAGGCGCTCAGAGGTCTGCCAATCACAGGCACCAGTCGTCAATCACCAGTCAGCCGTCCTCGGGCAGTCAGCTTTTTACCAGTCACAGGCATCAGTCGTCATTCTGCAGTAAGCAGTCGTCAGTCGGCAGTCAGAGGTCGGCAGAGGGCAGTTCCGCGGCCAGCGCCGGGCCGAGATGTGTGGATCTAGCAGCGATCAGAAGGAAACAGTTCTCGGCTCGCAGCGGGCGGAGCAGTAGCTCGGCCGCCAGCCGGAGGCAGCATGACGCCATCAGTGAGACGGTCGCCGGGAGGAACTCCCCTGGCGATAGCCGGCCGTCCAGTGGTGGTACCAGGGCGGCTGAAACGGACGGGAAATGTCCATCAGACAGTCACAGTGTGCCGACCAGTCACAACCGTGCTGGTGCGTGTCTGAAACATTCCAATAGCAGCCACTCGTCCGCGAATGGGAGCCTTGCGAGAACCGACGATGCTCCCAAACTTATTACTAAGGACGGAACATTCAGCAGCAGCAGCCATCAGCCGCCGGCGGGTCCGGCTGAGACCCGCACCCCGCTCAGGGTGGCCCGGTCCGCCGCCGCGCGGCCCCGCTCCAGCCCGCCGCAGCTGCGCCCGTTCGTCAACCACTACGTGCACACGGTGGCGGTGCTGGACGCTCCCGCGGCCGCCCCCGTCGCCGCCCTGCCGCCGCGGCCGGCCGCCAAGTGCACCTGTGACGTGCAGAGCGCCAACTCGGCCGACTCGGGACTGGCGGACGTGTCGCACCACAATGCCTCTTGTCCTCTGCGCGGCGGATCGACGCCGCGCCTGCGCCGCTCGTCCCGGCTCTCCTACCCGCGGCTGGCGCTGCTGAACTCCTTCTGGGCGGGCTCGCAGGCCAGTCTGCCGGCGGCCGCGGGGGTGCAGGCCGGCGGGATGCAGTCCAAGGGAGGGCGCGCCGGCGAGGAGCCGCCGCCGCCGTCCCGCACCGGCTCGACCCGCTCACTGCCGGCCCGGCGGCTGGGCGGGCAGCGGGAGCCGGGGGACAACCCGACCGGCGGCGGCGCGGAGGGCGATGGCGGTGACGAGCCGCAGCCGTCCGTCCGGCCCCGGTCGGCCTCCAGCGGCGCCAGCTTCCGCTCCCACATGGTGGCCCACTGGTGGATGAAGACGTCCGTGTGTCCCTGGGAGCTGCGCCGCTCCGAGGCGGTCGCCTGCAAGCAGTACCTCTCGCTGCGCCGCTACCGGCCGCGGTTCGCCGGCACGCCGCGCGCAACCAAGGCCTCGCAGACCAGCCTGGCGTCCCAGAGCAGCAGCAACTACAGCACGCGCGCGTTCAAGGCCAGCTCGGACCCGCCGCCGGACGCCGAGGGCGACGACCAGTGGGTGACCATGGCGGAGGTGGAGCTGGACGACCAGGCCGGTCACAGCGCCGAGGGTCTGCTGCGGCACGGCCGGCAGCCGGCGCTGCACCGTGTGGCGGCGCGCTCCGCCGTCCCGCCGGCCGTCCCGCCGCCGCCGCCGCCGGGCCGCAGCCACCTGCAGATCGGCCTGCTGGGCGGCCGCCGGCGGACCGGCACCGTGCGCCTCTCCTCACCGGACCTGGTGGCGCTGTCGACGGCCGGCGAGCCGCCGCGCCGCGGCTCCCGCTCCTCTCCCAGCAGCGGGCGCACCTCGCGCGCGTCCCGCGGCTCGCGCGGCCGGCGCGGGAGGTCGGTGTTCTGCTATGACGCGGCCACGGTGCTGGAGTCGTGTGCGGCGGCGGCCGTCGAGCCGGCCTCCTCTGAGGAGCGACTGTCCGACGGAGGGGCACGGGGGAGCGACCAGCGACGCTCGGAGAGCTGTGAGGAGCGCGAGTCGGAAAACAGCGCGGCGCTGGAAAGACCCGGCAGCTCGGATCGGGAACATCAGTCGTCTTCAGCTGGAGAGAGGAGCTCGTTTGTGAGCGACAGGGGCCTGTCGCGGAGTGTATCACCTGGTGAACAGGCGCCGCCGCCGCGTCCTCCACCGACCCGCGCTCGCCGACGACTGCGGGTGTTCTGTTACGACGCGGCCACTATACTGGCCACGTCAGCACCTGTGGTGGTAAAGACTGACCGTGGACAGATGTCGGCCTCAGCTAGGGTCGTGCGTGGCGCCTTCTCTCAGAGTGATCGTACTATCGCGGAGAGCTGTGATCAGTCCGACCTGCCGTCTTATCCGTATGTTGGCCCAGATACCACCTGCGCCGCCCAGGCAGGGGACTACTCTGAGTGGCCATCATCGCCCCATCCTGTCCACCCAGTCCCCGAGACCTGTCCCGACCCCACGTGTGCCGAAAACCTGCTCGAGCGGCTCCCTTCATCCTCTACCCCTGAGCGGACCGTCCCCCTCCCGGGGGCCACTCAGCCCCGTTCGGGGAGCCGCAACAGCTCTGAGCCCGGCAGGGCCGAGCTGTGGCCGGCCGAGCGGCCGCTGGACTCGGCACTGATCCACCAGCTGAGCTCCGAGGACCGCGAGGCGCGCCGACAGGCGGTGTACGTCCGCTCCGGTTCGGCCGAGTCCTGGCACCCGTGGAGACCCTGGAGCTCCTACAGTCGCGACTGTCCGCACTGCAGCAGCGTGGAGAGAGAGGAGGGAGGCGCCGCGCCGTCCACCGCGCCGCCATTGGAGAGAGGGCAGAGTGACAGTGCTCCTCCCCTGGACAGAGAGGAGGGTGACAGTGCGCCTTCCCTGGACAGACTGGAAAGTGGTAGTGAGGATAGAGAAGCCGCGGATGTCGATCACTTGAGAGAGGAACGGGAAGTGTTTCAAGGAGAGCAGGTGCAGCTGGAAGAGCCACCGGAGCTGCCGCCGAAAAGGCGTCTAAAAGACAGTGATGCTGCCAAGCGATCGACGCGATCAGATAGGTCACCCAGTCCTGGGGTCGTTCTGAGTAGCGGGTCATCGCCGCGACCGGCCGCCAGCAGAGAGATACCGCCGACTCAGGACGTCGCCACCGACCCGTGGTGTGACGCCGAGCGGGCTGGCGACTCGGACCACCCCGCACCGAGCGCTGTCGGTCGCCGGCCGGGACTGCACTGTCCGCAGTGCTCGTCAGAGGAGGAGGCGGCGCTGGGACACTCGGCAGTGAGGGGACGCCCCACCCTCACACGGCAGTCGCTCACAATCGGTAAGGAGAAGTCCCCAGTGTCAGCGTCGGAGCGCGGTGGGCTCGCGTCCCTCCCTGTACTGCCCAGCGGGGGCCGGTCGGGCAGTCGGCAGCGGCTGGACTCTGGCTCGGTGGCAGGTAGCGGCTCTGAGCTGTCACCCAGTCGCGGGCCGTCGCCGGTGGCCGGACAGCAGCGGCGGGGTACCACTGCCTTCGTGCCGCGCGAGGACGACCCGCCCTGGCGCGTGTCGCCGCAGGGAGACTGGAGTCGTGACGCCACCCCGAGAACGGATGGCGGGTCGGAGTCGGACGTGGCAGGAGGGAGGCGGTCCCAGGGGACGCGCAGCCGATCAGTGACCCCGGGAATGGAGGGAGGCTCCGGGTCAGGAGCTGATACGAGAGTATCGAGAGAGGGCCGGGGCAGGAGAGCAACGCCAAGGAGGGGCGAGACCGTTGGAAGAGAGTTGACACCGCTGAGGAGCGTAACCCCACAAAGAAGCTTAACTCCACGGAGGAGCGTAACCCCACAAAGAAGCGCAACCCCACAGAGAAGCGTGTCCCCGCAGAGAAGCGTAACCCCACAAAGGAGCGTAACTTCGCAGAGAAGTGCGACCCCACAAAGAAGCGTAAGCCCACAGAGAAGCGTAACTTCAAGGAGAGAGCTAACTCCGGCGAGAGACGACCCTCCCCTTGGAGTAGAAGGCATAACCGCCGCTGATGACCAGATGTCTGGAGATGGTAGGCGGAGCCCAACCCCGAGCCGTGGTGAGCTGCAGCCGCACGATGCCGCTCTCGAACACCCAGGAGATGTGGGTGATCGGCCTACGGACCGGAGCCGCGGAGCGACTCCTCAGAGGGACGCCTCCGCGGAGGAGCCGGTGGACGATGTCGGCTCGGGAGAGGAGGACGAGGAGGAGGAGATGCTGATGTTCCTCCTGAAGCACGGCGAGCAGCGCGCTCCTCCGGTCGAGGAACAGCGCGGGGACTCTCCGGAGGACGAACGGACGAGCCCAGAGTCGCCTCTAGTCCTGCCTCCTACGGAATTTACTGGTGTGGGAGCAATGGAGGACCGCTTCAACAGAGGAGACGAAAGGGAGGATGATCAGGATGTGGATGGAAAGCTTCCTCCAGATGGAAATGGTGGGGAAGTTCCACAGCCGTCGGGGGGCTGTGCTGAGTCAGCTGACGAGGAGAGGCCAAACGATCCCCCGTCAGATGAAGGGCTCTGTAGGTCAGCGACATCCGAGACACCGGAACCGACGGAGAGCGCCGAGAAACTAAGAGAGTTAGAAGACAGAAGTGTGATCGAGGTGCCTCTGGAGACCGATCGGCCTGAGAGCGTCGAAGAGGAGACCAAGCCAGAGGAACCTGAGGAACTTGAAGAGCCTGCGAGTACCAACAGTCCAGACGAACACGGCGAACAGGAAACATCTGTCGATTCGCCGGCCGTACTCCGCCATCTCTCGCCCCGACTCAGTCGGGAGATTCCCTTCATGGACGACAGTGAGAGTGAGCCCACCCTTACTCCTGCCCCGGTACCCGAGGCACAACCGGTCCGAGCGGCGAGCCCCCCTCGGCCGGCGCCCTCTCCGCGGCCCGCCACTCCGCCCAAACCGCGCTCACCCCGGGCGCTGAGCCGGACAGGGAGTCTGCCAAAGTCGCGGGCGCCGATCCCGCCGCCGCTGACCCTACCTCCTGTAGAGTCGGCTCGGCCGCCGTCTGCTCAGTGGACCCCGCCGGCGTCTCCCGTGACACCGTCATCGGTCCGCTCAGGTCCTCCGCCGTCGCCGTCGTCGGTCCGCGCGGGCCCGCCTCCGTCGCCGTCATCAGTCCGCGTCGGTCCTCCGCCGTCACCTTCGTCGGTGCGCGCCGGTCCTCCGCCGTCACCGTCGTCTGTGCGCGCCGGTCCGCCGCTGTCGCCTTCGTCGGTCCGCTCGGGTCCGCCGCTGTCGCCGTCGCCGCTCTCCATTGACCCTGCAGTGTACCGGCGGGCGGCGGCCGGGGCGGCGCGCCAGCCGCGGTTTGCTGAGGAGAGGATGGTGGGCGCGGCGCCGCTGGCCCAGCCCGTTCACCTGCTGCACGAACGCTGCGTGCCCTCCACCATCGCGGAGGATAGTGAGTCGAGTCAAAGCGAGCCGGAGGCGGCGCAGCGCACGCCGACCGGTCCGGTACCGGCGGCACCGCTGCCGGCGCTGGCCGCCCGACCGGTGCGCCGGCCACCCCCCGAGGCCGCCGCCGCGCACCGGCCGCTGGCGCGCAAACTGAGCGCAGAGGTGGCCGACGACATCCCGGCCGCCATCGGGGAGGAGGCTGAGCCAGAGGAGGCTGCCGAGGAGGCGGCGGCGCCGCGCCGGTGTCCGCTCAGCCAGCTGCCGCGCCTCTCGGCCACTCGCTCCACCGACTACTCCTCAGAGTCCGTGTCGAGCTTCGACGAGCCGGGCGGCGGTCTGCGCGCGCTGACGCTGATGGGTCGCTGCTCGGTGGTGTCGCACGACTCGGGGAGCAGCGGCGGCAGCAGCGGCGACGACGCCACCCTGGTGGAGGAGACGGCCGCCCAGGTGGCCGCCGGCCGCCGGCTGGAGATGTACACCCGCCGGCTGCGGGACGTACTGGAGCGGACCGGGCTGCGCAGTCCGCCGCCGCAGCGGCACCGGCTGGCCACCCGCGGCCGCGGCCGGACCGCCGCGCTGGCCCTGGCGCCCATCACGCCGTACCCGCCGCATGCATACCTCCCGCCGCCCGTGTCTCGGTCTCCGGAGACTGCCTGCCGGCCCGCCGCGGTCGGTCCGTCGGCGCCGCACCGGCCGCCCAGCCTGGGCAGTAGCGGCGGCAGCTCGAGCGGTGACGAGGTGCGCACCAGCGCCGGCGGCTACTGCGGCTGGCGGTACCAGGTGGCGGCGCCGGGCCCGGACACGGAGGACGCCGCCGAGACGTCCTCGCCGTCGGAGCCGGCCTCCAGCACCGACGACTGCGCCGTGCCGATCGTGGGGTCTCCGTTCAGCGGCCGGCCGCCGGCCGGTCCGTCCGACGGGCCGCGCCGGGCGCCGCCGCTCTCTGCCGCCAGCCGCTCCAGCACGGGCACCGACTCCCGGCCGCCGCCGCTGGAGCAGTGGCGCTCGGCCTCCAGCGGCTCGGAGGAGGCGCCGGCCGGCCCGCCGCCGCCGCCCCGGCCGCGGCCGGCCGTCACGGCGGCCTCCAGCTCGGACTCGGAGCCGCGCCGACCCAGCCCGCCGCCCAAGCCGGCCAACCTGCGGCGCCGCGCCCGACCGCGCCACCACTGACAGAGGCAAGCGTCCGCCGGCCGTAACCTGCCTGCCTGCGCCGTGTGGTGTGCTGCTCGCCCGCCCGCCTGCCCGCCCCGCACGCTCCGTACGGCAGACTGAGGCAGTGCCGCCGCGCCCGGCCGCCGCCGCCGCCTCCACAGCGCCTCAGAACGCGCGCTGGCCCGGCCATTAGCTACCGCCGGCTCACCGCTGTGTGCGATACCCTCTAGCGGCTGACCTGTCGTCTTTTGATGTCTCATATTTGGTGTAGTTTCGCTTGTTTGAGCAGGCCCTCCGTATCGATGTTTTATATTGAATTAGCGTGTGTAGTGGCTTTGGTTTAGTGTGTAGATCTGTTTTGTGCCGACTTGCTGCTGTTTCCCTTCTCACTGCACTCTTATTACCTGGCGTGGCTAACATCAGCTCGTTGTCAGTAGCCATCATTGTACTGAACAGCGCTTAGCCCTTACTTTGTGGTTAACAGTAACCGTTTGTCTGCTTTTGTTTTGGGGTTGACATATTGTGCATAATTGGTTTACTTTACTACATAGTTTTAGGACAAAACAGTTACCAGTGCGCTGCTACGGTATCATTTCTTATACCACATTTCAAGTGGATTAATGCACTGCTTGACAAACGTCTGCCGTCAGCAGTCGACACCTCTGGATAATTTCCCAAAGTTTATCAGAGCTTTATAACATCACGTCACATGGTTCTCGCTGACCAGCACTCGTGTGCCCGCGTCTGACCTCCGCCCGGTGGTCGCCCCAGGTGGCTCCGCCGCCACCGCCGCACCACGCGCCCGTCAGCGAGGTGGGTGTCTCGAGTGCGCCCGGCCCGCTGCGACCCTGGACGGCGGCCTGCCTGCGACCCTCGCCGCCGCTGCGGCCCTGCCTGGCGCTCGGACGGGAGGATACCAACCGAAAGAGCAGCAGGAACATGGTCTACAAGTACAAGAAGCGAGGTAGGTATATTGTAGGTGGCGACGCTCTTCGCGCTCTCTCGCGGAAACAGTACGTGAGTGGTGTGTGCGTGCATCCCTGTGTGCTTTATTACTATCGGTACCATGCCTCCATACGGCTGTGGGTACTGAATAGAGCCATGACTGACGCCGGTTTGGATCTGCCGCCGCCGACTGATCGTCGCTGCTTTTGGGAGCCGTCCATGGCATCGGTATAACCGTCGCGTCTGGACGTGACGCTGTTGGAGACATCTGGCCTCTGGGCCCCCATTTGTTTGATGTCGCCACTTTGGGACACGGCCGTCGGCCAACCGTTTGGCACCGACGGCGCCGACCCCGGCGGGATTTATTCTGGCGTGGGATGGGGATGATTTGTCTGCACTGAGAACAGGGTGTGATTTGTCTGCAGTGAGAACTGAATGTGATTTGTTTAGTGTCGGTGCGCAGTATGTGATTTATACGGTGAGACGTCTGTGTGATCGGTTCAGAGTCCGACGAGTTGTTCAGTTGGGCGATTTGTTCAGTATATGAGTCTGTTATTTTTGTCAGCAGGCGATGACCGTTCATACGAGGATGACGCCACGATTCTGCGTGTGATCGAGGCCTACTGCACCAGCTCCCAGCCGCGGCACACCGTCAACTCTTGTGAGTGTTCTGGCTATCAGCGACCCCCGCGATCCCTCCATATCGTAGGCTTCTAGGGAATGTTGGTATCCGGACACTGACAGCACACCTCACACTGCTTTCAAGGAGAATTATTTAAATTTTATTGATAAGATTTGTGCTGCTGCGTTTAATTGGATGACAGGATAGGAGGTGCAGGTGCGGCCTTTAGACCCACGCTATGTACGCTGGTTAGCGTACTGAGTACGCTAGCCAGTGTACTCAGTATGTAGCTTTGGTGTGATTGTCCATACCTCCGTTAGGACAGCCGGTGGTCCGGCATGGAGAACCCCAGAGTTCGTGACGAACATCTCCCGTCACCCTCCTCCCCATCCCTGCTGGACCTGTCGTACCAAGGACCTCACACACCTTTCGCTGTCCCCGCTCCAGCGCTGCTGGACCCGCCGCACTCCATCCCCGAGGAGCAACAGCAGCAGCCGGGCGGCTCCGGCTCCGGCGGCGGGGTGTCGGCGGCGGCCGCCCTGGCGGCGCTGGCCGCCGGCGCCGGCCCGGCCGTGCCCGCCCCGCAGGAGGAGCGTCTGATGGAGAGCGTGCAGCAGCTCCGGGACGAGGTGCGCCAGCTGCGCGACCGGCTGGACGACGAGCGGCGCCGCCGACAGCACCTGGAGACCATCGTGCGCACGCACCTGCTGGCCGGCCGTGCTGACATCCGCTGGGACGAGTGAGCCGTGCTGACATCCGCGGGACGAGTGAGCCGCGCTGACATCCGCTGGGACGAGTGAGCCGTGCTGACATCCGCTGGGACGAGTGAGCCGGCTGACATCCGCTGGGACGAGTGAGACGGCTGGGGCGGTGTGGAGGGGCGGCAGGACGGAGAGCGGTGTCGGACGGAGGAACGGGCCGGGAGGGGCGGGGGGGGGGGGGGCGGAGGTGTCAGATCGAGGGACGGGCTGAGAGGGGACGGGAGGGCGGAGCATTAGCGTCGCCACGGGGGGGCAAGCGGGGCAGCTTGCCCCCCCAACCTCGGACCGGGCACCCCCTGAGATCGATACAGATCCGATGAGATTTTGGAGTCGGGAAAAAATGGGGGTACCTTTCTGAGAATGCCTGTGAGGTCAGACTCGGTTGGAGCGTGCAGTTCAAACCAGAGTCTGACTCGCAGTCGCCAAAATCTTCAAGACTCCAAGTCCAGACTCGGAAATGTCAATGATGTGATTCATTACATGTTCCTAGTTCGTTCTTTATTACATTTTACAGCTGATTTTCATAAGTTTTGGAGTGCTGACACAATTTTCGTTCAAAGCGTGAAACGAAATCTTCGGGGCCTTTCTCAACTCTCGTCAAATGTCTGCGACAGGCTCAAGTACCGTACAAGTGTCGCAGGGCTCATGAGCTTGCTTTAAACAAAGGCTCCTAAGGAGCTCCACTGAGCCCTAAAGAAGCTTTTAGAGGGCCCAAACCGGCCTCTGAAAGCCCCACTGGTGTCCATGTTCTCTGAGGGCCCATACAGGGATCTTTGAGCCTTCGAACATTTCTGAGAACCTTAACTGGCCTCTGATAGTTCAGCCAAATTTTTGAGGCGACAGACTTTGCCAACCCCAAGCCGGCATCTGCGGGGTCACAGCTCACGTGTCCCTCTGAGGTCCGCAACACATGTTTATTTTGTCCCTACGTAGGGTCCTTAGGGATTCGACATAGACCCCGAGGGTTCACACTGCTATCCGAGGGCTCCAGGCTCACCCTGGGCCTAGTCTTTAGCGCCCGCCGCCCACACTGGCTTCTGAGGACCCCACCTTGGGCTCGGAAAGCCCTAAAGCACCACGTACGCGTAAATATTTGAGGTGACCCACGTCGATCTCCGGGATCCTAAGCAGGCTTCTGAGAGTCAGCACTGACCCTGAGTGGCCTGAAATGGCCTGGAAGTCACAAACCTATCTCTAAGGGATCCCTTGCCGCTATGCCGTGCGTAACTTTTGGTTCTGTTTAACAGTTTTTGTTCACGTTTGCAGCGCTTCCCTTCACACGAAAAACGAGAAACTTTTGTTCACACTCGATTGAACAAAACACTTCCTCTCACTGGAGCAAAGATGAATTACTTCCGATTCACACTTCACACATTCACTCTCCGCCGAATGCCCAACTTAGCTACGATCGGCGGCTGGGATAAGTCCTATGCATTTCACGTAAAACCTCTGCATGCATGCGTGAATGGAGGTTTTAGCAGGGTGATCCGATCAAATGGAGCGTTTTTCACCTCTAAATCGGTAGGTAATGATCATAAGCGTCGAGCGTCTGCACAGGGGCCCTCTGCAGTGCGTCGGCAATCGCAGCCACTATAATTCTACCAGTCGTTTTGTTATGAAATTTCAAAATTTCGAATTTTTTTTAAAAAATTACATGTCATAGCTAGAAGGAAACCTTTGTCACCATGGGATTCCTCGCACCATTGCGCGTCGAATGATATGTAAAACGAGTGATTTAAGACTGGGGAAAGGCAAGTTTTGACACAAAAGTTGATTTTGCCCCCCCAACCGAAAATCTCTGGCGACGCCTATGGGGCGGAGCGTCGGAGACAGTGCAGCCGGGCGAATGGGCAGGGATGAGAGACCGTAGCGGCACAAATGATAAGGTCACACTGTGTGAGTGATGATGTCTGAAAGCTGGAAAGGTCGACGGTAGGTGATGCACAAGACTTGGCAAGCTAGGACGCGGAATGGCGGCAGCATTTATCGGCAGCAGTGCTGCCACCTGTATCAGGACGGCAGTCGTAACAGTACGGCGGCTAGGGGCGCTAAAACTGCCCGCCGGTGGCGGAGATCAGGCAGCATATCGAGGTCGCGAGGCGGGCGTGAGGTCGCACTCCTCACCGGCTGAGGGGAATCGGTGGGTTCACCGGTAACGCGGGCGGCCACTGTGCTCGGTGACCGCTGTCGTCGCATCAAGATCGGACTCTATTCCTGGATCGTATTCGTCACGATGACTTGACTTTGACTCGGTCAAGAGGGCCACCGAAATGTGCGGCGACTCGCGCTGTCTGGTGGGGAGCCGCGGACGCCGTGCTATTGCAAAGGCGGGAGAAAGGCGTAGTCACGTCACCCGACGTGTACCCGCACCAGCCGCTCATGTTTTGCCAAACGACCCGTGCGACCCGCGGCCAAACCCGGTGCCTGGGGCGGCGTCCGTCGCAGCCGCTTACTGGCGTGATCAGCTGTAGCAACTGAGCTCCCTCGTTTTACACGGGAGCCGCTGTCCGAACTGCCGTAGTGATTGTGATGTTCGTCGACAGAGTGTATTTATGTGACGTGTGTCCGTGTATCCAGCCGGTCACCGAGGAAATATATTGTTTAGACGTAACGAGTGTCTCTTTCTCGTGTCTTTCCCGGCCCGTGCCTCATTCCCAGGGTGTGGCTGTGTGTGACAGCACGGGCGGCCTACCTGTGAATCAGAATGGCATTTCAATTTTCACCAAAGCTCTAAACCAGGTGTTACTCTCTCCTTAGGTAGCCTGTTTACTGACAAGCGTGTCTGGATCAGGTGAGGTAAAACGCAAGGTTATTATGACAAGCTTCATTGGTACGACAGGTATGACAGCCTGCTTCAGCGTTCAGTGTTTCGCCCAAGTTTCGCCAATCGCCATGTCCCTTCTGTCTCACGTCCCCCCTCTCCTCCCCAGCGTCGCCCCCCCCCCCCCCCCCCCACCTCCGTCCGCTCCCGTTCCCAGGGTTTCGCCGGTCGGCCGGTCCTGTAGGAGGGGGAGGGGCGGGCTGACGGCCGGCGGTGGGGGAAGGGGAGGGTCGGCGGCCGGGTGCCAACAGCGCTGTGATTGGGCGACCGGAGGTGACGCCGCTCATGTTCAAGGCCAACCCCGAGCCGGCGTGGTCGCGGAGGCGGGAAAAGCGGACGAGCCGGTTGCCTTCTCACAGTCTTTTTCAGCATTTCACTAGAAGTCTTACGTTCTTCACTGGTGGTGGCACTTGCGATAACTTTAGGAGATGGAGCTGGCATACTGGAATATTCGTGGGGTATGTAATTATACCGCTTGTACCCTGTGATAATGTGTATCAATATCAAATACACCAGCTTTCGAATCCCAACTGAAGCCTCATGCCAAGGCCTCATGCTGTGAATGACTGATTTATGTCACTTTCGTTCTTTCTTCTGCAAGCATTGTTTGGGGGGAGGGGGCTATTTTGAGCTGCTCTTTGCTGGGTGATGTGATTTGTGAAGATTTGTTGAATGGTATGAAGACAATCGGGCTCTTTCCTTATGCAAATTGTAGGCTGTGGTGTGTGATGGCTAGTAACAGGATTCTGGACCTATTGTTATTATTTACCCTTGATTCTTATGATTAATTTGCTGAATATCTGATATGTCACATTTTCTCTTATCACAATCATGGTGGCTCCATGTATGTTGTCTCTCAACAGTCTCAACTTCATGCATGCTTTTATTTTATTTGCATTTTGTCTTTCCTAATTGTACCATGCATTTCCAAGAATTTCCCAAATGAAGTTTTCATGTTTTGAAACAATCCAGTTTGCAGAATATTCTGGAACAATAATGATAATAATAACCTGTCTATTTTTCAGCTCGCCCAGCCAATTCGCCTTTTGTTGGAGTACACGGGGGAGAAATATGAAGACAAGAAGTTTGAGTGTGGCCCTGCCCCAGACTATGACAAGTCATGCTGGTTTGATATCAAAGAAAAACTGAAGCTGGACTTCCCCAATGTAAGTACCTATGTACAGTTGGCTTTGATTGGGTCACATCACACTATGGATTGCAAATGTTGTGCAGTGTTGACCAGCACTGTCCAAACCAGAGCATATAGGTTCCAAAACAGCCCTTTCAAAATGTGATGGGGCCCAATATAAGACTCAACCAAGTAGTGCTGAGGGGCCTGGCCTGCTGTAAATGCCTTAGGCCTGTCCATGAACCCCTTAGTTCCTGCCTGCACTTGCCATTTCACCACTCCATAATGGATGGGGATGGTGGCTGCTGAGTTCTTCTGTTTGCAATTGAGATAAAGCTTTTAATGAAAAGCTAACAGATTCTTCAGGAAGTGATGAATCTAATGGTACCCAACTTTACCACCCGAGGTCAAATCTGGGTCCTCCCAAATCAAGTTCATGTAAAATTGTCGCTGCCTTTACGTTAATCGGGAGAGATCGTGCGTTCGTGCGGACAGTTCTGTTCCGTTTGTCCGCTTCAGATGGGGTGGCCAAGGCTATAGAACTCCAAAGTGGTCAGAGTTGCTTTTATCGATTTCCAGTAGGTACCCCTAATGGCAAGCAACTGACATGTCCGATCAACCGCAGTGTCTATAAATGCGCTGAACCCTAGGGCCCAACCAACTATCGACGTCAGGTCAATATCCCAGCCAGCAATTTTGCTCCGGGCCCAAGCAGGCTCAAGTGCGGATTGCCCGAGATTTTTAGTCGGGCTAAAGTCGGCTAGGGCTTGGGCTAAAGTCGGCGTATGACACAAAAACGCCGACTAAAGCCCATGCTCTGCCGGAGGTATGCCCGCTCTGCGAGCTCCGGACAGCCGTAGTTTAGCCCTAGTTGAGCGACGATTGGCGTTAGCCCGATTTAAGCCCGAGCAGTGAATCCATTTATATAATGGAGATTACTCTGGGCCCGAGCGGGCTGAACTCCGGCAAGCCCACTCTGTGTGCCCTGTCTATCCCGACTTAATCGGCTCGAGTGACGGCTCCTGTTTTCTCAAGTCTCGACTTGACTTCATCTTGCATTTGCTTCACACTGGATCAAGTAGCAAGGAGCAGCCAATGCACTTTCAGCAGGTTGTGCGGTTTCAATGCATATTTAAAATTGTTACGGTCACTCATATGCTCTGTTAACCCGCGAGTTGCTGGGGGGGGGGGGGGGGCGTTAAACGCCCCCACTTTTTTCGCCGGGCCATAGCATAAAAACGGCGCGCCGCAGGCGCGCCAAATTTTGGGTACCTGTAGGGAATTAACTGAAGTTTATTGTGACAAAGTTTCAAAAAAATCGGTCGGAAAATGTTTGAGATATCGAGGTTTTAGTGCATCATGATTTCTGAGTTTTCGACCAAAAACGGCATATGTTCAAAAAATCATATAAAATCACAGAATAAACATATAGACATGCCGTAAACGCCATTAGACTGCCAATACCATGGAGAATCAAATGGCTATCTTCGATTATTGATTATCGTTCCGCATTTTCCAAAATCTTGAACTGAATCTTGGCAATTTCTCGTGACTACTTCACGACCATGATACATGAATTTCTTAAATTGAACTTTTTTAGCCAAACACGTACACATATGATAAAATGAATGTCACCATCGTGTTCTACGCCCCAAATTACCCATAAAACATGTGTCACAGGCTGCGAATATCAGTTTTTATTTTCGGGGATATGTGCCTGCCCGGTTGACCTGACCTTGACCCTGACCTATGCTTGACTGACCCCTGCATGGAGCTGACACTCTTGTAGGCCTTATATGATGGATTGTGCACCGTTTTGACAGAGTTTATGACGAGAGGCGCCCATTGCGAAGTCCTGAAGTCCATGCTACTGAAAGCCCGATTTCAGGTGTTTGACCTGACCTTGACCTGACCTGTGACCTCAAAATTCAACTTTAAAGTACTCATCTGAAGCGTCTCGTCGCGTTCTTTCGTTTGCCGCCTCGTGCGTTTCGCTGCGCCTATTGGTTCTCGAGTTATCGGCTGGGGGCGTTTAACGCCCCCCCCCCCCCCCAGCAAACGGTGGGTGGCGAAATACCCCAGCAACTGCCGGGTTAACCGGTCATCGAGCATTGCGAAAGGAAAGTAGTGGTTGACTTTGATAGTGAATGTATATTATAAACGACTACAGACACTCAAATGAAACACAAATACATGAAACAGTGGAGTGCAAACTGCAGCAATAATATGACATGAGTCATGAAAAAGCGCCATCAAAACTATAAAACAATCAAAGGCCCGCTAGCCTCCTTCCCCGTTCATAATACTTGGTTGAACACTCAACCGAAAGCATAAAGGACAGCAAGTAATCGCTCATAAGACATAAAGCAATTAGCAAACAATCGTTTATAAGGAATTTTACTCTGGTGAATGGGAGCTTTGGAAGCGTCTGGCTCCTCCACACATATACACATCTGCAGTAGGTGGTCGGCCAGCTTTCGGCGCAGTTTCAGTATAATGTAGGTATACCTACCTACTTAATTATAAGCAGGCAGTTTCCGCTAAACCACTTGGCGAGGGCGACTGCGGCGTCCACCCGGTCCTGGTTTGTATAACTATTCCATTTTTTTTTTTTTGGAACCATTTGCTCTAATGGTACGTACCTGAAAAAGAGATTAATTGGTTTAATTTACATTGCATGTTTGCTTGAAAAATAACTTATTGTTGCATTAATACTGTAAAAGCACTTCTCACTGATCCGTATAAAATGATCATTCGATTTTCAACGCGGACAGAGAATGAGCGTGCTCGGTGATAAGTAGATAAATATTTGTGTTTTGTATTTCATTTTCCTGGTTCAGAAGTGCTGGTATTTCACAAAGATATGAAGGCACGGAATGCGGCTTTTCTGAGCGAGGGTATAAATCGCCAGGCTGAACAGCTATTCAGCTTCATGTTTGATGGCGTGAAACTCAGTCAAAATCATGACGTTTACATACGATCAAGCGCACCATTCAATACACTTACCTACCGTAAAACTCCATGCCAGTCCACGTGATAAGAGCAGTGAGCACTATCCCTTCTTCGCGCTGTCACACGCGCCCAAACATCAACCACCAAATACCCCAACACCGGTGTGTCGTTTCGTCGCACAGCGCACAGACTGTCACAAACGCTGCACATGATTGGCGCAGAGCTGCGCATGCGCGAACAGCCGAACAAGTATGGCTAAGCTCCGGCTTTACTCCAATTAGCCGAAGGACACAGCCAGCTTGATCAGCCCGCGCTCCGCCCAAGTTAAGCCTGTTTTGGATGCGCGGGCAGATGTCGGGCTGAGCTACTGCTATCCGCACTTGGGCATAGCTGCGGCATGCCCCAGCTCAGCCCTAGTAAAAAATGCATTGGTTTTGATCAAAGTGGGCAAACCCAAGCTAAGCCCAAGCTGCCCAACGTTTGCCACAGTTCAGCCCAAGCGAATTGCTGGCTGGGATGCGACCTCATCCGTCATTATGCGTTCTCATCCCGAATCGTTCCCGCTGATGAACTGTTTCCGCTACATCCGAACCATTCCCGCTACGTCCGCTACTTCGTTGTATGCGTTTGAAGGAACATGAAGTAACGTAAAACGGCGGCTCATCAGGCTCGACGCGGGCCAAACCAGGATCGGTAGGGGTGCTGAAGCCACGTGTGACTTAGATTTCGGCAGCGGGCCCAATCTCATCAAGTCTTTTGTCAGGAGACAAAAGACACTCTGACTAGCGGCCGCCGGTGCTGCCTCTTACGTATGCCCCAGACTGATCGTCCCTGTACCCGCTGATTCCTGGTTTGTCCCTCTCTGACTGCGTGGTTCTCGGACAGCTGCCCTACCTGATGGACGGCGACGTGGGCGTCACCCAGAGCAATGCCATCATGCGCTACATCGGCCGCAAGCACGACCTGCTCGGCAAGACGGAGCAGGAGCGTGTCCGCGTCGACATCATGGAGAACCAGGCGATGGACTTCCGCAACGGCTGGGTGCGCCTCTGCTACAATCCCAACTTTGTGAGTTGGCCGGGGAGGCGAGACAGCTTGTCTCAGCTCTGAGAGACGTTTTTCGGAACAATAGACATAACGAGGAGAGATCAGCGGAGATGGATGTCAATATCGATTTAAAATGTCAATCTTCTCGATTACGGCTGATTACATCTGGGATATGTGAGGTAGATTTGTTTCGTGTGGATACAGGGAATAACCAATATTTTTATGCGGTTCGTTGGTGATCTATCGATGAAGTTGGTTACATAAAGCATCATTTAGATATAGGTTAACATTTCACGGAAATTTACCTGCCCGGAGCAGCACATGATTTACAGCTTATTACAAAAAGCGCGTCAAATTTCGAACTTGTATGCAAGTATAACAGCTCGCAAGCGGTAAAGGAGTGTGTATTCCAAAGTTTGACCGGGTTTCCGATCTCCTTCCTTTGCAGGACGACATGAAGGAAGGCTACCTGAAGTCGGTCAAGGACGTGATCGCCAAGTTCTCCAAGTTTCTCGGAGACAGACAGTGGTTCGCCGGAGAGAACGTGAGTTCGCCCTTAGGCTAAGGCCGGCTTTCTGTCTGCCTAATTAGCCACGTTATTTCGTAGCAGAATCTCGGACATTTACGAAGTCTGGAGGTTGCACCTGCACATCGTCGGGCAATCGCTGAATGTGCCCATTGACCGGGCTAATGTGCCTCTCGTTGCTGTTTTAGTTTTCGCTAAGGACAATTAGACCGAATACCTCCTCATTGACTCCCTGCTGGTCGCTCCTAGTGTCAATAAAATTAGCCCCAATTGATGCCAGCTGCGGCCGTCATGACAGTCAGGATGACTGGCAAATATTGTCTGATTAATCCCCATTTGTTTGTGTGTGATGGTCAATGACCAAATCGTGGTAACGGGTTCGAATTCATCGTGAATGTATACAGTTAGATGATCAAAATGAGGTTCACGTGGTCCGCCACTGTAATTCGTCGTGTATGATACTTTCTGTTCACTCTTTGTGATTGTTTGTGAGTGTTTGAGCGATTGGCTCAGAGCAGGCAGACCATGATGACCTCCATTGACGAAAGTGACCAGCACTTTGTGACCATTGCATATGGGGGCTGAAATAATGCTGCATCACGAATTGATGCGTGTCGCTGGCACGAAACGGCTGACAGATAATAGACAACGGGCATGCTGTCGAATTAGAACGCACAGATGAGCAAGCATAGATACTTTATACCAGAACTTCTTTCTGCATGTGGATCAGAGCCGAAAGCCAGTAGGTTCGTCGTTTCTGTGTTTCGAACTGCCGGTCCACGATAGGGTAATTGCGAGTGTCGGTACTCCGTTGCCTATGCATATCGCATATAGTGTTGGCTGACCGTGTTCTCTGACCGCGTTCCTTCTCCAGCCTGCTGACAGTGTTCCCCCGCCAGCTGACCGTGTTCTCTCGGACCGCGTTTCTTCTGACCGTGTTCCCTCTGACTGTGTTCCCTCCCTCGCCAGCTGACCGTGTTTCCGCTGACCGTGTTCCCTACCCCTCCAGCAGCTGACCGTGTTTCCGCTGACCGTCAGCTGACCGCGTTCCCTCTGGGCTCTGACCGTGTTCCCTCTGACCGTGTTCCCTCTGGGCTCTGACCGTGTTCCCTGCCCCGTCAGCTGACGGTGGTCGATTTCGTCATGTACGAGCTGCTGGACCAGCACAAACTGCTGGATGCCACGCTGGTTGAGGCGCACGACAACCTCACCAAGTTCATGAAGCGCTTCGAGGAGCTGGAACCCATCAAAGCTTACATGGCCAGCGACCGGTTCATGAAGGGACCGCTCAACAACAAAATGGCCAAGTTTGGCGCCGAGTGACGGCAATCAGTCTGGGCGGTGGGATCGGCTATCGGCGCGCGGGCTCAACTGACGGCACACTGGCCGCCGGACGCCTGTGCTGGCGGTCTGTGCTCAACTCTCAGTCAGATGTGACAGTCATGTGGAATTTAGATGTGAGGAAGCTGTGGCTATTGTGTGTCGCACCTAGTTAGTGGGGAAACTGTTCGATGGTGCCTCACTGTTAACGTATTTCATGTGATTGACGGATGCCTGATAATTTGCTCTCGCGCAAAGACACGTGGATGGAAAATAACGATGAATGGGAGATGGTTGGAGAGAGGAGAATACACTCGGTTTTTGGAGGAAGTTAACTGTCTTTTATATTCCATTTATATTTTATATTACAAGCTATTTCGGCCTTTTTCCTTGTATATACGGATGGTAAAATGGCTCTAAAGAAACGTAAAGCTAACGATCACCATGACGAGTATAACGACACGATCGATACGAACGGAATAGTGGATGATTGTTGCAAGGGAAATAAAAGACATGGGAAAGGATGCGAACCTCGGTGGATTCTGGCTTCGAGAAGAGCATGACTTCAAAGCCTGTGAGTCGAGGGTGAGCCCGCAGCGAACGGCGGCAGCCTCGACGAACACACGCTTCTAGTTCTACAGCGGCGACGAGTGCAGCTGGGCGCCCACTCGGCCGTCCGCAGTGTCGGTGACTGGGCCTGTGGAGGTACTCGAGGAGAACCCTATGCAGTGAGATGGCGCTCTGTGTGCCTGTCATCTCAGCATGAGTGGCGTAAATGTGACAACGGATTTCTGTCCGGCAAGAAGTTTTGTGGAAGCCTTCGAAGGAGCTTGGAAGATTATCTCGTGGTGATGTGCCAGATTCTTCAGTGGTGCGGTTAGATGCCGAAGAACAGATGGGGAAGACGGTGCAGATCCAGGGTTAATTAATTATCCAACGGTGCCTGAGTATGTCCGATGGTGACAGAAGCCAGGCAGAGCTCCAGATTTGGATCGTCAGTGGTGACTGCCATGCGACGACTCCTTGGCATATTGGTGACGTTCGAGGCCGCAGCGACTTTGGAAGTCAGGGGGTGGTGTTTAGGTGCAGTAGAGGATGTTCGGCACCGCAGAGTGAGTGACCCTTGAAGGTCAGGGGGTGGTGTTCGATGGTGCCTCACTGTTAACGTATTTCATGTGATTGACGGATGCCTGATAATTTGCTCTCGCGCAAAGACACGTGGATGGAAAATAACGATGAATGGGAGATGGTTGGAGAGAGGAGAATACACTCGGTTTTTGGAGGAAGTTAACTGTCTTTTATATTCCATTTATATTTTATATTACAGAAACATAGATCTGCCGTTTGTCTCGAGACGAATAATCGTCGCTAGTGCCAAGAATGCTACACTCTTTGTGTATGCAGTTTGTTTCGAACCGTTTTAGCTGTGATTTACTCCTTTGGCAAATATATTTTTGTTTATTTCGTTATATCTCTTTTATTTAATTGTTCCGCTTTAGAGGATGATGCAGCGTTCGGATGTTTCCAATATTCTTAGCAGTTTTTAACGAGCGAACGAGTTTATCTGCGGTATAACAAGAACTGTCACTATGAGGAGCCCGATCCGGCCCCACGACGTTTTTTTACGGCAATGTATCTTGGCAACCGCTCGACCGATCAACAACCGGCCTTCTGCTTCAGACCGATCCATCTCTTATTAGGGGGGGGGGGGGGGGGGTGGAATCGAACAGTATTTTTCACGAATAAACCGCGTAAAAAGCAAAGTATCGCGACGAAATTTCCAACCCTGGATGTAATCAATTATACACCTCTGAAAATGTTATAACCGTGACCCAAATGATCTTATACATGCGACCATATTTTCGAAACCACTCCAGGCCAGAAAAGTGATTTTGGCTTATGCCAGCACGTGATAGACTAGAGCCTATCTAAGAAGATAGGTTTAGGGACAGCCGACGATTGGTACGCGGTTTAGATCGGCCAGAGGTGTCCCGCACATGTCAGTTGGAGGTCTCGCATTTCGCATCGTTCTTTTGCGCGTGTAGAACTCCCGGCTCACTGTCTCGCTTGCTCGTTCGTCGTCCCAAGACATCCTACTAGCATGTGACTCTAACATCTACTAACAAGTGACTGGATCACGTTTGAAGTTACTTGTCATGGAACAGTTGATAACGAAACGAGTTTCAGATGCAGCCTGTGCGAGGACAATGGGTCGTGTGACAAGCATAATTGTTTTCGCGTTAAGATCCTTGAAGTTTATTTTGGTGCCTAGGCGGATAAATGGAAGCGAGTCGCGCTTCAAAAACCGGTGTTGGTATGCAACTGCGTACCATATAGAACGTTTGGACATTTAGCATCCCTTAATAAAACTAGCTGTTCTAAAAAAAAAATGCTTAGAGTAGACCAGAAAAAGACCAATTTCGACGCTAAGTTATATTGTCTTTACAAAATACATCGGGCAAATGCAGCATGACGACGCGGCGCCGGGAAGTACATGCTACCAAAGAACCAAACGCTCGTTTCCGTATGCACCGGCCGCAATGGAGATGGCGCCTCTCGGCGCGGAGGGCCGAGGGCGGAGCAGCAGCAACACACTGCGGCCGGCGGCGACAACGCCCCAACACACCCGCGCACACACACAAACAAACACCTCAGGGGAAGTAGCGTCTAAAAACGGATCGCCACAAGCTGGTCGATTTATAAAACACGTTTAAAGGCACGGAATGCGCCGTTCAGAGCTCACCTTCGTCGCAACGTAAACATTTGTACAAGAAGGCTAAATGTCGGCGATAGTGAAACGCGTGGTCGCCAACATTTTTCGCACTAAATTCCGAGGACTTTCTTTAGTAACAAATGCGATTCTTAGCTACATAAATACACGGTGAGTCACCGCGCGCTTCTCTGTGGCTCGGAACCACTGCGTTCTTCATGTACAAATCGGTATGGTCCCCTAGCATGGTGAGCAACGAGTGGTGAGATCCATTCAAAATCACATCAGATACTGCTCCGAAGCTGGAAACCGACGCGCAGCACACCCATTTTGGCAGTCGCGCCGAATTTGGCGCGACCGAGCGGCGGCCGGCGAGCGCGGCGCCCGTGGTCGCCGACACCGGAGTCTCGTCTGCTCACCTCACGCTGCCCCCGCCCGCCCCCACCCCAACCCCGCACAATAATATTCGCGTATGATACACAGTTGGCTGTCCTAGTGTCTATGTACACTCAACGGCACGCCCGCACTCCACTGTCTTTGCACTTTACGAAACACCAGTCGCTGGCTGAGGCGCGGCGCGCCGCTAGATATAGACGCCCTCGCCGACGGGCTGATGATGCTGCGGTGGCGGCGGCGCCGGCGGCTTGGGCTGCGCGCCCGGCGGCGAGCACACGCCGTCCGACCAGCCGCCGGCCGAGTGCGGGCTGCTCGTCGACCACTGGCCCGGAGAGTCGGGGCTCGGCGTCGGGTAGTGGTCCGGCGACAGCTGCACGTGCTCGCCGCCCAGCGAGTGCTGCGACGGCGGCGTCGGGTAGTGCGGGTACATGTGCTGCTGCTGCGGCTGCTGCTGCTGCTGCTGCGGGCCGCCGCACGCCAACTGTGTGAACTCGGCCTGGCCGTAGGCGCCGGCGTCGTACGCGTACTGCTGGTGGCCGTTGACGCGCGCCGCGCCGCGTATCGCCGCCATGTGGGTGGGCGAAAGCGCCATCACCGGCCGCTGCTTGCACGGCGAGAGGGCCTGGGGCGAGAGCGCGCCCGGCGGTGACGGCGAGTAGTTACTGCTCTGCGGCGACGGCATGAACGTGCCGGGCGACATCTGCTGCAGGCCCGGGTAGCCCTGCTGCTGCTGCTGGCCGTGCGGCAGAGTGTGCTGCCGCGGCGCCGGCTGCGGCGGCTCCTGTTGCTGCTGCATGTGCTGCAGGTATCCCTCCGGGCTCATGCCGACGGCGGCCGGCATCGACTTCTGTCGCGGGTGGAAGAAGGGCTGCTGCGCGCCGCCGGCTGCCTCCATGCCCGCGCCGCGCAGGCTCTGCATGCTGGCGGCCGACTTGACGCAGTCCTCATACGGCGGCGGCGGTTTGTTGGGTATCCGCATGTCGTAGTGCTGCGACAGCGACGCCACGTTGGCGTACATGGCCGTGTCGAGCGCGTCCTCCAGCATCTCGGGCGACAGCTGCTCCAGCTGGTCGGCCTTCTTGCGCTTCATGCTGGCCGTGCGCGCCTTGCGCTCGTCGTCGGCCGAGCCGCCGGCAGCGCCCTGCGACTGCGGCGGCGGCAGCGCCGCGCGGGGTCGCTTCTTGGGCTTCTTCATCAGGGAAGACATGTCGGCCTGTGAGGCCGAGCCGAAGGACTGAGCGCTGGGCATCTGCTGGAGACGGCAGAGAACAACGGCGTCAGACAGGGTCGAACGGCGTCAGACAGGGCACAGCGTGGGACGCACATCCAACAGATATATGTTTACCTCGAAAATATTACACGAAAAATTCCATTTCAATATTTGTTCATACAGAGGTTTATACAGATCAGAGATCACAAGCATGAACAAACACACCTTTTCCAAATTAGCACATCTGACCTCGGATAATGTTTTCCTGCTAAGAAAACAGCGATACAACAGCGCCCCATTTTCCCACAGCCCATGGCGCCCTGTCCGCCACCAGCCCGCGGGCTCCCGGTCACCCACCTGCGGGCTCATAGTGACGTGCTCGTCCAGTAGCCGCACGATGTCGTGGTGCAGCCGCTCAGCCGCCACGTCACGCGGCAGCCGGTCCATATGGTCCGTGATGTCTCGGTTGGCGTAGTGATCCAGCAGCAGCTTGCAGGCCTGGTAGGAGCCCTCGCGTGCCGCCTGGAACAGCGGTGTCTCGTCCTGCGGCCACACACCGAACGACCAGTCAGTGATGGGTAAAAACACTCGTCGTCATGGACAGCCGTACAAAAAAGGTAATGACAGGAGATGATGATGATTGGGGTTTGAATGGCGTTACAACTATAAAATTGAATGCCCCTAATCAGCAGTAAAGTAGAGACACGAACAGCTTTAGTCTTTTTTTTAGCAACAACACCAGTGCTCCACTAAATGCAGGGAAACATTTGACGCTCTCACAGAATAAGGTCCAAAAATTGTAGGGTTCGCCCAGTAGCCAGTGACTCACCTTGTTGTTCTGGGCGTCCCGGTTGGCGCCGTGCGTCAGCAGAATCTGCACGGCCTCGACATTGTTGACAGCGGCCGCCCAGTGCAGCGCCGTCTTGCCGCTGTCGTCGGCCGCGTTGACGTCGGTGTCGGCGCCGATCAGGTCCTCCACCATGCCCTCGTTGGCCAGACGCGCCGCCAGGATCAGCGGCGTCGTGCCGTCGTTGGAGCGCGCGTTCAGGTCCGTCGACCGGTTACGGAGGAGGATCTGGAAGACGCCCTGCGCGTCGGAGGCGACGGCGGCGTGCAGCGGCGTGCGGCCCGTCGAGTCCTGGCAGTTGACGTCGGCGCCGGCGTCCAGCAGCCGTTTGGCGGCGTCGGCGCGGGCGTAGCGCGCCGCCAGGTGCAGCGACGTCTCGCCGGTGCGGTCCATGGTGGCGTTCAGCTTGGCGCCCTGGTTGATGAGCTCCTGGATGACGCTGGCCGAGCCGTCGTCCACGTCGTCCTCCGTCTCGGGCTCGGCCACGGGCGTGGCGCCGCCGTTCCGGAACGAGGCGATCATGAGCGGCGTCATGCCCATCGGTCCGCGCACGTCCACGTCGGGCGCAGCCGCCTCGCCGTGTGTGGGCGTCAGCGCCAGCAGGTCCGGGTTGCGGATGTCGGCGGCGTTCATGTGCTGCTGCGTCCAGCCGCGGTCGTCCTCCACATCTGTGACGACCGTGTGGTCGCTGCCGTACGGGCCGCTGTCCAGCCGCTTGGCGCTCGGCTCGTCGTCGTCCGACCACTGCGGCACGTTGTCGTTGCTGTCCAGCTCGGCCAGCCGACTCTGCGAGATGTGCCGCATCTCCTGGCCGTCGGGGCCGGGCCGGCGTGAGTTGGTACGCCGCGGCCCGGGCGCGCTGCCCGCCCCGAAGAAGCCCTCGGGGAACCAGGTGACGCCGCGGTCGCGTTTCCGCTTGGTCTGCACCAGCACGCCGACCAGGATCATGACGAAGACGAGCAGCAGGATGATGGGGATGACGTACTGGTAGGCGCCGCTGCCGCCCGGCGCGGGCGACACGCGGCCGCCCGAGCCGTTCACCTCGTAGATGGGATATGATGAGGAGAGTTGCGCCATGGAGGCGGCCGCGCCCAGGTAGCTGGCCGCCTGCTCGGCGTCGATGAAGCAGCGGCCGCCCTCTGCGCGCGCGCAGTTGCGGTTGTCCAGGCTGACGTACACCTCGGTGCCCTTGCCGACGAAGCGGTAGCGGTAGGGCTCGCGGCCGCCGCCTGGGCTGATGGTGCGGCTCGGCTGCCAAGGGTACACCATCGGCTGCCCGTTGCCGTCGCGCTTGATGACCACGTTGGTGCGCAGCTCGCGGCCGACCTCGCGCAGGAACGGCACCGTGTTGTTGAGGAACTCCTGCATGTCGACGAGCAGCACGAAGCGCAGGTCTCCGGAGGCGAGCACGGGCGGCCCCTGCTCACAGTCGAGGCCGTCCCAGTTGCAGCCCTCCGTGTTGCAGCTCTGGTCGCACACGCCATCCGCGTATTTGGTTCGGCAGAAGTAGTCGTGCACCGGGTTGCACTCCTGCACCACCGACTGACAGTCGCGGCCGTCGAACAGGCAGTCGGCGTTGTTGCACTCCATGTCGCACTTGCCGTCCATGAACACCTCCCAGCAGCGCACGGCCTCGGTGCTGCAGTTCTGCCACGGGTTCGTGTACAGCGAACAGTCGCCGCCGTCGAACTGACAGGCGTACGTGTTGCACTCGGGGTCGCAGTGGCGGTCGCCGGCGCGCTCGTGGCAGTTGAGTCGACGGCAGTGCTCCTGCTCGGCCAGGATATCGATCGGCAGGCCGGTGACCACGTCCAGAGGCCGGAATATGCCGCCCGGCGAGCTCGGGTCGTAGATCTCACAGCGCAGGCCGGTCAGCGTCGGCGGACAGTCGCACTCGAAGCGGCCGGCGCGGTCCAGGCACACGCCGCCCTGCTGGCACGGGTTCGGCTTGCACTCGTCGTGCACGTCCTGCTCGCAGTTTTTGCCGGACGTGCCCGGCGGGCAGGTGCAGGCGTAGCCGCGCGCGTACGGCCGGCACGTGCCACCGTTGCGGCACGGCTGCCGGTCGCACTCGGTCTGTTCCCGCTCGCAGTGCTCGCCGGTGAAACCATCCAGACAGTGGCACGTGTAGCCGTCCGGTACGCCGTCGCACACGCCGCCGTTCAGACACGGGTTGCGGCCGCAGAAGTCGATCTTGACGTCGCAGAGGCGGCCGCGCCAGCCGGGCCGGCACATGCACTCGAAGTCGTTGACCAGCTCCACGCAGTCCTTGGTGCCCGGCTCGAAGCACGGCTTAGTGAGACACTCGTTGATGTCTCCCTCGCACTGCGGCCCGACGAAACCGGGCGGACACTGGCAGGTAAAGCCGCCCACCTGGTCGACGCACGTGCCGCCGTGGTGGCAGGCGCCCTCGTAACAGTCGTCCTCGTTGGTTTCACAAAGCTGGCCGACCGTTCCGTGCGGGCATGAGCAGCTGAACGACTCGACCATGTCCAGGCAGGTGCCGCCGTTCTGGCACCGGTTCGGCACGCAGTCGTCCTCGTTGATTTCGCAGTCGACTCCCGAGAAGCCGGGCCGGCACTCGCAGCGGTAGGTGCCCACTAGGTCGTGGCATGTGGCGCCGTTCTTGCACGGCGACGTCTCGCACTCGTCCTCCTCGTGCTGGCAGTAGGAGCCCGTGTAGCCGCGCGCGCAGTGGCACCGGTGCGAGTTGCCGATGTCCTCACAGGTGCCGCCGTGCTCGCAGAGCTGCGGCCGCGTCACCGACTTGCGCAGCGCCGCGTCCTGGCACGAGACCATCTCCACATCACAGAGCGCGCCCGTCCAGCCGGGCAGGCAGGTGCACTTGTAGGTGTTCTTCTTCTGGTTGCAGGTGGCGCCGTTGAGGCACGGGTTGGTCGAGCACCAGTCCACGTAATCGGTGCACAGCTCGCCGGCGTAGCCGTGCATGCAGTGGCACGAGAAGTAGCCGCGGTGGTCGATGCAGGTGGCGCCGTTGGCGCACGGGCTCGAGTCGCACTCGTTGATGGGCGTCTGGCAGCTGGAGCCCGTGAAGCCCTCCCGGCAGAGACACGTGTAGTTGTTGATGCCGTCCACGCAGGTGCCGGCGTTCATGCAGCTGCTGGCCGTGCAGTCCATGTCGTTGGTCTGGCAGTCGGTGCCAGAGAAGCCCAGCGGACACTCGCACGTGTAGCTGTTGACGTAGTCCTTGCAGGTGGCGCCGTTGAGGCACGGCGCGCTCAGACACTCGTCCACGTCCTTCTCGCAGTGTTTGCCCGTGAAGCCGGGACGGCACGAGCAAGTGTAGTCGTTCACCCCGTCCAGACACGTGCCGCCGTTCTTGCACGGCTTGGAGGCGCACTCGTCGATGTTTCGGGTGCAGTCGCGCCCCTCGAAGCCGGGCATGCAGTGGCAGCGATAGGAGCCGGGTACGTTCTCGCAGGTGGCGCCGTTGCGGCACGGGTCGCTGGCCTCGCACTCGTCCAGGTCGATGTCGCACAGCCGACCCTTGTAGCCGAGCGGGCACTGACAGCCGAAGTCGCGGTAGTTGCTGCTGGGCGAGCACAGCGCGCCGTTGCGGCACCGATTGGGCACGCACGGGTTCAGCTCGGCCTCGCACCGTGTGCCGTTGTACTGCAGGGCGCAGACGCACTCGAACGCGTTCACACGGTCGATGCAAGTGCCGCCGTGCAGGCACGGCCGCGAGGCGCAGTCGTCCACGTTAATCTCGCAGTTGCGGCCGGCGTAGCCCTCGCGGCACGAGCACTTGTAGTCGTTGAGCAGGTCGGTACAGGATCCGCCGTGCTGGCACGGGTTCGACTGGCACTCGTCCACGTCCTGCTCGCAGCGCAGGCCGCCGTAGCCGGGCAGGCAGTGGCAGATGAAGCGATTCACGCCGTCCTCGCAGTGGCCGCCGTTCAGGCACGGGTTCGAGGCGCACTCGTCGACGTCGCTGAAGCAGCGCCGGTCGTAGTAGCCGCGCGGGCAGCGGCAGCTGTAGCCGTTCACCTCGTCCACGCACGTGCCGCCGTTGGCGCACGGGTTCGAGCGACAGTCGTCGATGTTGATGTCGCAGTGGCGGCCCGTGAAGCCGGGCGCGCACCGGCACTCGTACATGTTGATCTTGTCGATGCAGGTGGCGCCGTTGTTGCACGGGTTGGCCAGGCACTCGTCGATGTTGTGTTCGCAGCGCTCGCCGTAGGTGCCCGGCTTGCAGCGGCACTGGAAGCCGTTCACCAGGTCGTCGCACGTTCCGCCGTGCTCGCACGGGTGGCTCTCGCACTCGTTGATCTGCGACTCGCAGAGCCGGCCGCGGTAGCCCGGGTAGCACTGGCAGCGGAACTTGTTGACCAGGTCGGTGCAGGTGCCGTGGTGGCACGGCTGGCCCACGCAGTCGTCGATGTTGGTCTCGCAGTCGGCGCCGGTGAAGCCGGGCGGACACTGGCAGGTGTAGCCGTTGATGCCGTCCCGGCACACGCCGCCGTTCTGGCACGGCCGGCTCACACAGTCGTCGATGTTCTGCGCGCACCGTTTGCCCGTGAAGCCGAAGTTGCAGCGACACTCGTAGCCGTTGATCATGTCGATGCAGATGCCCTTGTTGAAGCATGGCTCCTCGAGCAGACTGCACTCGTCGATATCAGTCTCGCAGTGCCGGCCCGTATAGCCTGGGGACAGCAGGGGAGGGGAGGGTCAGAACCTCGGGTGAACAGGGACGGCTTATCGGAATCAGTGAACTGAAACAGGGATGAGAAATGATAACTAAAACCTCATTTAGCTGATAGGAACATGTATGTGAGGCTCGACATCAGTGAAGCAACGAAGTTATAATTGTTTAACATCCTCTCACGGTAAAGATAATATAAGTTCATTAATACGACTGAAATACACGATAACTGCGCTGCAGAGAAGAAAGATTAAGCTTGCTAACCTTCAGATAAAGCAAAAATAAAAATGCAAGGAATGAACAATGGGAGTGCGACATTCCAGCTAAACTTGCAGAGCCAAAAGGGCCTTGGGTGTTATCATGTGCTATCTTCAGCCGCTATTTCATGTAGGTTTCACACGATAGGCATACATCTCTGGTACGCAGCGGACCATAGGTACGCCGCCTGTGCACCCACAATGGGTGACTTGAGCACGGCATTTCGCAACTTCCGAGGAATTTCCACCGTCGTGAAACCCCGTGCGTGTCGGGGAGTGGTAATGTCAGGTTCGAGGTTCTTGGGTACACGGCTTGACACTCGACAGTCAGTCACCGTCAGTCACAGTCACAGTCAGTCACAGTCACACAGTCACGGCGGTGGCCGTGTCCGTCGGCGGTCAGTTCCGTTGTAGCCGTCTGAGTCACCGCCGGACACTGAGTCACGCGCGGTGACTCGGGCCCGGCCCAGGTCGACTCGCGTTGTCTCACGCTAGTCGACCAGAACCGCCACAGCCCGCACCTGCCTGCCGAGAGAACACAGCCCTGTCCGGCTGGTCCCGGCCGTCCGGAGCGCCTACAGTGGCAGCTGGGGAGCGCTGTATGACCCCAGCAAGTCTGAACTCGCACTCTGCCCACCAGTAAATTGCAATTGCTGAACCCTGAGGCAATGCCCACACGCCATGTTCGCGCTGTAAGACAAAGAGCTGGGAACGGTCGGCCGGCGGGCGAGCTGGCCTGACCAGTGGCCACACTGGACGCCGTGGGAACCGGGAACCGGGCCCACTTGGACCGGCCGTCCAGCGGCGTCGGTCACCTCAGTCCCCCCCCCCCCCCCCCCCGGCGAGCGGCGCTATCGGCCGTGTCTGCATCGCGGCTGCAATCGGCCTCCATTCAGCCGGCCGTCCATTCAATGAGCCAGCCTACCGACGACGCACGCCGGCCAAAGAATGGTGCGATTCTTCGATGGTGTGCTTAGCAAGCACGGCACGTGAGATAAGCTCGGCTCGGCGACAAACGCACTATTCTGCTGCGGCGCGGCGCCGCGGGGCTGTGAGGGCCGCTGGGACGGCGGGCTCCCAGGACGGTCGGCCAGCCCGACCGGCCCATGTCCGACCGACCGGGCCGGGCTAATCACCGTCCACGGCCGGCCATAACAGCGGCGGTCAGAGCCGGACGGTGGCGCCGCCCGGCGGCCGCACCGGCAGCAGCGGCCTCGAGCTGAGCCGCCTTCTCCAGCGGCCACGCACGCGGACAAAGAGCGGACCGCGCGGCCGCCGGCACCCACCGCGCCGGCCGGGCAGCGCGGCGCGCCGCCATCGGCCGCCATCGGCAGGCATTACCGTCCGCTGCGGCAACCGCTGCAATGCTGCAGGCTGTCACCGAGCGCCAGCACCGTCTCCCCACGGCCCGGCGCCGTCGCCGCGACCGCCATCGCCGCGCGGCGAATACCGGACCGCCTTTTTATTGTCGGGAACCAGTTTTGGCCGGCGCGTCATCGATGTACGGCTGATGACGGACGCCAGCGCTCCATGGGAACGGTGAGCGCGACCGGTCCGGAATCCCGGCCGACCGGCCGACCACCTCGGCGCGCTCCGATCACCGGGCCGCCGGAAAAACGGCCCACCAAGCGGCCGGCGCGGCGGCCATTAGCGCGTCCGGGGCGCGGACCCGGCCCGAGCGCCGCCGCCTCATTACCTGAGCGGACAGTAACGAGCCGGCCGCCGGGCGCCGGTCACCGCGCAGAGGCCCTCAAACCGGGCTACCGCCGGTTTGGGCGGCTCCGGCGGCGCCGCTGCCGGGCCGCCGCCGGCCGACCTAACCATGAATTACTCGAGGAATTAGCTGGGCTCGTTCCCGGATCCGCGGCGCACACGGCCGGCAGGTCGGAGTAGGCTGGCCGGTCGGTTGGTGAATGACCGTCGGTGTGTCAGTCAGTCAGTCTGTGTCAAGTCTGTTTGTCAGCCTGCCGGTCCCTCGGACCGTCCTCCGCGGCGGCCGGTGTCGCTCAGCGCCACCTGTATCCTGTCGCCAGTGTCCCGGCCGGCCGCGGGACGCCGCATTCCGGCGCCGCGAGCAGCGCGGCCGCCGCCGCCGTTCCCAGGCCCGGCCGCCACCGCCGCCGCCGCGCCGACTTTCACATGACTCAGGCCGGCCCGACCGGACCCGGCCGCGAAAAATGGTCACTGCAGGCGGCCGGCCGCTCGCTCACGGCTGCCCGGCCGGCCGGCAGAGCGGCGGTCTGAGCCAGGCCGGCCGCTGAGAACCGGACAGCTCGGGACTCGCCGGGTAATCGTCCACCGCGCCGGACTGGCTCCCAAGGTCGGCCGGCCCGAGCCCGGTCGTATTCGGCCGCCGCCGCTCGCCAAAGGGTCCCAGACGGCGGGCAAACAGGTTTCCCTGTCGCTCCCCCTGGCGCGCGGGCCTCGGCGACCCATTGGGCACGCCATCGGTGGCGGAGCGGCGGCGGCGGCGGCGGCGGAGGCGGGAGTGCCGCCGCCCTCCGCACGCCGGCGCCGTTTCCGCCGCGCCCGGAGGCGTCTGACATTCCCGGCGGGTCGTTATCTGAGCGGAGCGGACCGGCCCGGGCGCGGCTGACCCGCTCCGCGTGACCGGCAGCTCGTGCTCCAGAGGCCCGGCCCATGGAACGAGCTCCGGGAGCGGGGCGGTGTGTGGTCGGAGCTCCGTGGCGGGCCGAGCTCCTACAACCCAATGCATACCAGTACATACAAGAACTAGTGGAACATATAGCACATTCAAGCACTAGTCAACTCAGACCGCTTTCACCGAGCGCGTCCGGTTAGCGGGTCTGTGAGTCCGTGTCGCCGCCGAGCGATATAGCCGGACATACCAGCACGCCGCCGCGGCGGCGGCCGGACTGACCACCGCACCACCGTCGTGACCGCCATGTCACGGCCGCGGCCGGCCCGTCATCCCACATGTGCATACAAATATAGGTCCGCAGGTCCGTCGCCGGAGTCCGAGGCACACCGCACGCCTCTCGGTATGAGAGGTGACGCCGCGGCGGCCCTACCTCCCGCCGCACACTGGTCGGAAACGCTCCAGCGAGAGGCCAGCGGCCTTTCCGCAAAAGTTTTTTGCTTGTTATTCCACAACTAGTGAAGCAAACTTCATAAAACTTTGCATACCTTCTCTGTCATATGTAAGCTATCATTTGGATGTCAAGCACTAAATATATGACGTGAATCTGTTAAGTTATGACGTCATAATTGAGTATAATACAGGATCTAGCACCACTTTAAGTCAACAAGGGAAATTGGGAGCTGCTATTCGGGCACCGGGAATGGTTTCATGCACTCCTTGCAAGGTCCAGTGCTTCACTTTAGCATTGTTGACTTTGCGTGACGTCATTTATGACGTCACTAAGGCCATATAAGTTTTTCGTCAATAAGTCCTGATCAGATGGAGCTAGAGAGTCGGGAAAGCCACCATTGGACTCAGGAAGACCTGCCGAATCGAATGATATACGATATGACCTCCTTCAACCATTTTCGTGACCTGAGGGGCTCCGACCTGACCTTGACCCGAGGAGTTGACTTCACCCGAACACCAAGTATAGCATTCAACGCGCCTGAGCTAGACAAACACGATGATGCCAAAATCGCGGCAGTGCGACCATTTTTGGCAAAGTAATTAACCTAAAACCGAGCCCGTGCCTTGTGGCACTTACCTGACCTAAGAGGCCACTGGCTGACCTAAGACCTTAAAATCGGGTAGACCTAATTGCTGCGTCTTATAACGGCACACAAGCTCGTTTTTTTCCGCGAGGCTCTAGCTCAATTAGAGGCGAAACGGCGAGGGAGTTGTACCAACCCTCCCCGGTCAATATAGAAAACCAATCGGTCCGGCCAGGGTTAAATACCGGAATTGTGATCTAATGTAAAAAGACGGCCCAAGGTAACCCAACGTCAGTGACAGGTGTCCTATATTTGCAGCGTCTTATATTCACGAAGGTTTCAATTTCCACTTTCTTCAGCCGAGTGATGGCTGTCAATAGCAAGGCTCTCTAAATGCAAGCCGTAATCGCCACGCAATATGTGGAAGGCTTTTGATGTTAATGCATACAAAAATGCATACATAAAACGCGCTTTTCACAAAATTCATAAACTCAAGCGCATCTGTTTTTAATGACCAGTCAACTACGCATGAATGCGTGCAGGCCACACAGGTCAGCGTAAGCCGGGCGCAGCGGCCGAGCCGAAACTGGGTCGGGGCGGGCGGTACTTGGGTAGGAAGAGCGGCTCCTGCAAATTTTGCGCAAATATGCGCAGTTAGCTTTTATGTTGCCCTGGTGTAAATTTAAATCCTGCTTCAGCTCACAAAAAATCAGAGTGGGACTAGATGGGACTACCTGTTGTTTCCTTACCTAAACTTTGCAGTTATATTCCAGAATCACTGTAGGAGAGCCTTCATAAAAAAGCTACAGTAAATCTTAGTTAGGGAAAAAGTATACCAAAAATTTTGCACTGACCAGTCGGCAACTTCATAACGAACATTTTGATGCATAATATGTGGGATTTCAATTTCGTGTCTATCAGCAATAAGACTCTGAATATCCGGCTCAAGAAACCTCTTGCTCCGCGTCAGTTTCCGAGTTCTGGGATACCCCATCTTCGGGGGCCGATTACAGTTATTTTTGGTCACCCGGATTAGTTTTTTTGGCCTAAGTATAATAATTTGATCAATTTCAAATCGATCTATATAAAAAATAATCCGAAACTCCGGAATCGCCCGTGGCCTCTCGTGAGGGCGTTTCCGACCAGTGTGCGCCGGGCCGATTTGCAGCGGCGCCGGCCGGCCCTGCGCGTGCTGGTCATACCGGCCGCCGGAGCCGCTCGCCGCTCCGGCCGGTCACCGGTGAGCGTCGGCCGCGCATTCAGGCCGCTAATGCCGGTGCAATTAGCTCGGATGGGTTCAGTGACGGCCGTGATTCATGGCAGTCCGCCGGGAGCCGACTGCGAGTCCAAGGGCGGCCAGTGGCGGCGGCTCGGCGGTCTGAGAGCCCACCGGCCGCCGCTAGACGGACGGCGCGCCGGCCAATACCGCCGGCAGAGGTAAAAACGCACCGCGGCGCTGCAGCTCAGCCCAACAATAAATGTGGGAATTCGCTGCTTTGCATGCAAAGCAACTGTAGAGCCCGGGCGCGGCCGAGAACCTTCGATCGCAGCGAATTCCGGAAACCCGAGTTCCGTCGTTCACCTCTGCTGACCTGGGCCTGGCGTGAGACACTGGCGCCGCCGCGGCAGCAGCAGCACGCGAGCTGGCCGTGCTGGGAGCGTGCAGCGGCCGGCCGGCCGGCGCGCGCGTGCACCGTGCAGCCGACCGGCCGGACGGGCGGGCGGCCATTTTGGGCCGCGGCCGCGGCGGCGGCACGATCGGTGACCATTAGCCGGCGCCCGGCGCGCTGCCGGCACACGGGCCCGCGCGCCCATTACGGCTCTCGGCAGGTGCCCGGCTCAGAGAGCCCTGTCGGTGCCGACACTGCATCAGCGGCCCGACGACCCCCGGCGGGCGGCCGGCGCGGGCCGGCACGCGACTTTTTCCGACCACCAAAAACTGCACTTCATCATAGGGTCCAATTGCCTTTCAAGACAGGTGCGCACACACGAGATTGCCCCGCGCAGCTTCCCGATAAACAAAAACAGCCGGCCGCTAAGGACCGGCCCGGCGGCCTGAGCGATCGGAAAAGGGCCTCTACTGCCGGGCCGAGGTCCGGCCACGGGCGAACAATGGATGGGCGGCGCAACTGCTCTGACGCGGGGTTAGAGCGCCGGGCCGGGACGGGGAGAAGACGGACGCGAGGAGCGGTTCGAGGAGCCTGCAGAGAGCCCGAGCGGCCGCCGGCAGCCCGCCGCCGAGTCGCCGCCGGAACGTGCACCAGAATCAGCATGCATGGCATGAGGCAGATGATGTGACCCAGTCCAAGCAGGGATGAGCTGCAACCGGCCCCGAGAGCTCTGCAACTCTGCCGAGCCACGGGGCCAGGCGCGCGGGCTTTCAAGGACGGTCGCGGCGGCGGACTGTCCATTGTTGATACTGAGAATTACCAACTGTTTGCATGAATACGCGACTCGTTCAGTCAAACATTCCCAACAAACCATCACTTCTCTTATCAGCCGGCCCTGTCTTCAAAGACTTCCATCATAGTTCCGGCTTAGCAGCAGTGACTATCATTCAGGCATCGGGTCTCCGAAATGTTTTCATAAACAAATATCCTATGTACAAGGACTCACAAAAAGCATCCATAGAACTCATGCAATCGTTGCTCCTGCTCCCATTCTTCGTTTACCAGCCCCGTCAGTGTAGCGCAACTCGAGACCCTGGAGACTGCGACGCCCGACTGGTGTCTATCGAAGACTGCAGCCGCCGGCCGATAGGAAGCTAACACCAGCCCACCAGCCCTCAGCGCCCGCCGACAGCTGCCGGCCGCCGGCGTGACGACCGACACTCGTCCCTCGCTCTCAGGAGGCACGGGCGTCGGCGCACCGTCCACACCTGCTCCCCAGCCGAGCCCACTCGGTGACACCAGACGGTGCCGTGTCACTTAGCATGCAGCTGCGCCGCCACCCATCTTCGCCGAATCGCCAGATAGCTGCATCCATTACCGACCGAGCGGCCCGCGAGATCGGTACAGGTCGTCGCGGCCGGTAGCACTACTCAGCGTGTGAGGAGCCCCACGCGGTTGGTGCGCTACCAAAATCAGCCAGCCACTCCCCCTTAGCGACTGGTGGCCTAACCCGTAGGAGGCCCCCGCGGTCAGTAGCGATAGAAGGCGTTAGTGGGGAGCCCCACGCGGGCGATGGCGGCACCAAAATCAGCCAGTCCTCGTGGCCGGTAGTGGTACCCAGAAGAGCCCCGCGGCCGATGACGGAACTCGGCGTGTGAGGAGCCATTGGGAGGTCAAGTCGCGGCGTATCGCCCGCCCGATCAGTGCTGCTCCTCCGACCGGCGTGTGACCGGCGTGGCGCGCTCAGCGCCGCCGCTGACCGTCCGTTCCCACGTCAGGCCGTCCGGCCGGCCGTTGGACCGGCGTCCCCGCTCTCCCTCCGGCCCTCTCAGGAGGACCCGGTCGGACGCGGCACGCATTCTGTGGCGCTCCGTCGCATTCCGCGCTGCCATTCCCGGATCTGGGCCCGGCGTCCGTTCACGGTCTCCGTCCGTCTCTGTTTCTGTCTCTGTCCGTCTCTGGGCGTCAGTGTGGCGTCGGACGGCCCATCGGCCGACGCTGGCCCATTGTTTCCGCGTCCGCGACCGTCGGGCGGGGCGCCCCGGGGCAGGACACTCACCTGGCATACAGATGCAGCGGAAGGCGCCGCTCTCGTCTAGACACGTGCCCTCGTTCTGACACGGGTTCGAGTCGCACTCGTTGATGTTGATCTCGCACCTGCAGAGAGGGAGGGGAGGGACGGAAACAATCAGCGTCAATTGCCTGTTTGGATGCGGACATTGACGCCTTCTAATCACAGTCCCAACAAAGAAACACGGTGTTACGGCGCAGGAAAACACGAGTCGAATCGGCCGCCACAGCAATGACAAGCAAAGAGCGCCGGGCTGAAAAACCGTCGGCTGTTCGGGCCGGTCAAAATGTTTTACTCGTGTCTCATCGCGCGCGGCCGGAACGGTGACTGGGCGCCAGGTGGGCGTCCTTTGGGTGCGGGGTGCGTCGGCCTGCGCTCAACAATCGCTACAAATGCCGCGCCGTGCACCGGCCGGCGGTAACACCGGTGTTCACCGCCGAGCAGCGAGGGCAGGTCGGGGGAGCGGCGCACCACGGCCTCCACCGGGGCACGTGGTGCGCTGTTCGCCCGTTCCAGGGAGAGGGGGGCACGGGTGACATGACAGTCGGATGATACGTTGCTGCATAAGTACCGACAGCAATGAATAAATGGGTGAAGCCATTCTTTCCGGGCACACGTGTTTGTCATTGGGCTGCAAGGCTTCAAAAACATCGAAAAACCTGTCTTAAACCAATCATAATAACAAATAGTCATTCAGTTGCAACACTCATATTTATTTTAGCGGTCGAGAGCGGCGTAGCGGATCCACTCGTCTGCCGAGAGAGCTGTCAGAGTCGCCGGAGCCGGAGTCTTACCTGGCGCCTGTGAAGCCGGTGGAGCACTCGCACTTGAAGGATCCCGGAGTGTTGACACACCTGCCGTTGTGTTCACACGGCGAGCCTGCGAACGGAGCGGACGGACGGGTCAGCGGCGCCGACTCGCAGCGTGTCGCAAAACACGCCGGCTCATCACGGCAGGCGGCCGGCGGCGCTAAAAACTCGCCGGATGGAATCCCAAGACGAGAGAACACAAAACATCGGCGGCTGGCCCAGCGCTGGCCGTCCACGGCCGACAACAGTCGTCAATACGTTACACAACCATGCACTCTCAGGACACTGGGAAACATCGGCATGTGATGTGTTGATAGCCAGCTTATTCAATATTCATATTGAGAAACCAGCACACCTTGATAAGTGAATTTACATTGTTCTGCGATTATCGAAGAGTTGTAGGTATGAAGAAACAAAACAGCTCGAAGACCATGTAAGGCTAGCAAAACTGACCGATCGGGCCCTCACACAGATCCAATTTTAGCTCAGCTACAAAACAAGTGCATTCTAGCGAACAAAAAGCCAAAGCCGATAGCCTGAGCCCCACGCTCCGCGCGGAGCCTGCGGTTCGGAGACGCGGAGCGGGCGGCGAGTCTAAGCTGTTCTGATTACAACCGGTCGTGGCGCGATGTGCCGATAACAGTCTGTTACCGACAGGTTTCTCGAGGCGCCGGTGATGGGAAACCATCGCCCGCCACCACTCAGTTCGCCATTCCAAGGAGCAGCAGAGGGGAATTCAGGCCCAGAACGAGCGCTGACTGACACTGCCAGTTTCCGTAATCGCGCGAGGGAGCTTAAATCAGTCGGAGACCGGCTAATTGCAGCGATTTAATGATGAGCAGCGCGGATGGTGACTGGCCGGTGACAGGCTGCGACCTTGGTGGTGCAGCGATAACGTTATATCCGCCGATCGCTCTTTACCTGTTCTCTTCCTGAAAGGGCTCTGTACCTATTGTTTTGAACGATAGCATTGTACCAACCATACAAATGCAATAAAAAGTGAGCGAATCCCTGTAGGCCGGTCTCAGTCTCGCTACCAGAACTGACTGGTTGCGACTCCCATGGCCCCGCTAAAAACAAGCGTCAGCAGTCAGATTAAAAAGAAAAAAAACTAAAAAAAAAAACTGGCAAAACCGTACAGCTACGCTTTTCTACACTACAGATTCTGCACACTAGCAGGCGCGGTATCTACGAACATAAAAAGACAGCGGCGACTGCAGCAGCAGCAGCGACTGCACCAGCAGCGACGGCGCTGACCCTGGCGGCCGGCCGGAGCTGGCGGTCCTTCCCAGGCCGGCCACCGCCACCGCCGCAGCCGCCGCCGCCGCCGCGCATTAGCATAAAGAAGCAGTATATTAATGCAGATATGCGCCGAAAATTGGCCGCTTACCATACTGGACGGCTGCAGCTTTGGGAGGCAGGCGAGTTCTGGTTAGAGCATTCACAGCACACGGAGGGCGGGTGCGCTCAGTTCGCGGGAAGCGGCGGGGCACGGCGGTCACCTCGGGTCGGATCGGCACGCGATCAGCCGCCGGCCCGGGTCACGGGTCAGCCGGCGGCCACTCGGGGGGGGGGGGCACACAGGGGAGGGGAGGGGAGGGGACACCCAGCCGGCCCTGACTGAGCCGACCAGCCCTGACCCCGATGGATGCCGCGCCAGGAAATATTTACAGCCCACATTGCATCACCACAACGGGCGATAGAATGCCAATACCGCTGCAGACATAGCAGTGGCCGCAGACGGCCCGGGTCCGGCGCGGGGTAATGGTCACTGGCAGAGCTGCCCGTAATGCCACAATAAGGTTACACAACCCATACAGGGAGCTGCGCAATAGCCACCCCCGACACCGGCCAAGATCGGGCAGGCGGCTCTAATCAGGCCCGTTCCCACAGGTTGGACCGGCGCCGGACTCCGGACGCCAATTCTGCAGCTCTACTCTGTCTGACGGAGTGGCCGCCAGCGTGCAGCCCCGACACTTTTCAGGGTCCATATGTGTCCGCTGATAGCATCAGGGAAACTCGGCCGCGGCAGCACATCCAGTTTGCCCGTGACTGGGAGGCCCCGCTACGACCCACCAGGACCCATACCACCACCACTACCATCACCACTACCCATACACAAACCAGCACCAACACACAGCACACAAACACGGCCCCGTCGCCCGGATGACAATGCCTACCTTCTTCGCACTCGTTGAGGTCCTGGGAGCAGTCGTTGCCCCAGTAGCCGGTGTCGCAGTGGCACTTGTAGGTGCCGTTGATGGGCGACGTGTAGCACTTGGCGCCCGAGTGACAAGGGTTGGAGGCGCAGTCGTCGTTCAGGTGACACAGAAGACCTGTGGGAACGGCCACAGGTCAGCGGCGCTGTCACGCGCGCGTGACGAGCGAATCAGCCGTCGGAGAGGGGCCGCCGACCCCTCCCCTCCCCTCCTCCCAGCAGCTCGTCAGCCAGGCAGGGGATCTCGGAGCCGGAGAGCAGAGAACGAACCAGTTTCTGCACCGTCGTCCGGCCGGGCCCAGAGGAAACCCACCGATCGACAGAATCTCCCGGACAATGAGAGCTCGAACAATGGGGCGAATCGACTCGGCGCCGCGTCGATCGCAATTTAGATAGGGCCGCGAATATGCAACATGTCCGCGCCGAATCAGAGACAGCGCTCGCAAGACAATGGGACACTTCGTCATCGGTCAACTGAGCACGAAAAAAGGCGGCCGACTCGCCCCACCGGTTCTGGCCGGCCGCCGGGCCGCGCTGGCGGAGCGCCGTGTCACGACAGACGAGGAGGGCCCGGTGACGCGCCCAGTCCGACGTCCGTCGCCACACGCACCTGTCTTGCCGGGCGGACACTCGCAGTGGAAGGTGCCGACGCGGTCGTGGCAGGTGGCGCCGGCGAAGCAGCCGCCCTTGGCGCAGTCATCCTCGTTCTCGCTGCAGTCGTCCCCGATCCAGCCGTTGACGCAGATGCACGAGTAGCCGCCCACCGTGTTGGTGCACGTGGCGCCGTTCTTGCAGATGGACGGCCGCAGTGCGCACTCGTCCACATCCTGGCGGCGGGGAGGAGGGACCTTGTCAGAGGAACGCAGAACATAAGACACAGATAAGCGAGAGAACATCTTCAAGAAGATTCATCACAAAACACACTGTTGGGCGGGGACGGGAATCTTCAGAGGAAATCCTTACATAACAGTCGCCCGGACAGGGAAATCATAGAAGAATATCTTATATAACGCACGGTGACCACTTGACCACGCAGTCACTCATTACACAGTCAGATATTCAGATGCAGACGCGAGCCGCGTGTAGGACTTCACCTAAAACACAATAACGGAAACGATGTCTGATGTGTGTATTCGAGCCATGCACCAGGTGTCTGTGCGGCTGGACAAATGTTGAATTATGCACAGAATTCCTGCGGGCGGGTCGTCCCAGGTGCCGGGTCGTGTGGGAGTGGGGACAGGCGTGCACCGCTGCCCAGCTGTCACGGCCTGTCGCTACCAGTCGGCCAGAAATGACATCACCGCCGCCGGTGGGGACGGCCGAACAGACCAGCTCACCGCACCGGTCTCCAGAATAACGGATAATTTCGGAATCATCGCTCATCGCTGGACAAATAATCAGCTTTGGTTACAGACCAGCACGGGAGAGGTTGCAGGTGCTTAATAAGACCAGATCCGGGAGATTTCCCCTGATCCTCGTCATTCGCTCGGCCGACTGTCGGCAGCTGAGGCGACTGACGTTACCCCATGGCACCTCTCAGCGGCAGATTCACGGCAAAAACCGGCCGGAAGCAGGCTCTTCCCGCGGGGAGACACTTTTCTCACCGCACTGCACGACTCGGGAGTCACAGGGGAAGGGGAGACGCCACCGGGAGGAAGAGACGCTATACGGGGAGAGGGGAGACGTCATGGCGCGGTGTGAACGCATCTTATCGGAGAGAATCGGCGCCGCTGACACGGCAGTAACACGTGCTCGGAGCACCAGAGCACCGTCAGTACAGGTGTTCCCCTTCAGTAGCGCTCATTACATCACCCTCCCTCTGCCCAGCGCTGGACGAGAGCAGCCAAAAGCCAGCGAGACTTTCACACGGTTCGGCGGCCCGGCAACAGGACGGACAGCCCCTGACTAATGACAGTTGGCCGAGTGTGCAAAGAAGGAAAGTGACAGAGTGGGATTATGACGGCGTAACATCTCCGCTTCACATACCACCAGAGGCGCTGCATGGAACAGAGAACACCGCGCTCAGACCAGATCTAGAGCGCCTGAGAGAAGGGGTCCGGGCCGGGGCCGGGCGGCGAAAACAGACTCCCTCCTGTGCCAACTATTCGCAGCATTAGCCCACTAAAGGGGTCTGCCCATCCAACAGGAAGCATTCCTTTTCAGACGCATCGAGAGTTTGCCGCTGAATCGCGGAGAGGGGCCGGCGCGGCGACAGACGAGACCCAGAGACCGGCGGAGCGGGTGCCCGAGAGGGGAGCGGCACAATGGGACGGCCCACATCCGGACAGATGCAGGGGTGGACCGGTGGGAACCCATCTGGGGCCAGGAGCAGTGGGACAGGACCGGCCGCCCGCCTTCCACGGCACTGAGAGAGGCTGGGGATTGATCACACATCTCGAGTGAGGCAGTGAGCAGTTATAGGATTACCGGGTTAACCTGGCCTGCATATTGAGTTAGGCGCAGTGCGCACTTGCAATACATATCGTAAGTACTCCCCAGTACCGCTGATTACGTACCTGCGTGCAGTACTCGCCGGTGTAGGTCGGCGGACACTCGCACGTGTACGAGTTGATGCCGTCGATGCATTTGGCGCCGTTCTGGCAGAGGTTGCCGGCACAGTCGTCCGTGTTGTCTTCACAGTCCTTCCCAGTGAACCCTGGCGGGCGAGGGGAGGTAGGCGGTCAGTCAAAGGGTCAATGAAGGCCAATAGCGGTGCCTGACGGTTACCCAGCACGTCAGCTAACAAACAAGCAAGTAGCAACAATCTAAATAGCAGCCGGCAGATTGGGATAACACAGTGTGACAAGCTAACCTAAATAGCAAATTTAAACGTATAATTTCGGTTGAGCGCAATACATGTTCCATATGCCATACTCTGCAATGGCCCTATCAGCCACTGCCGCGCCCATGCGGACGGAGCCGACAGCCGACCCTGACGACGGAGCGGCCGCCGGCCCCACCGCCGCTGTTTCGCCGTGGGAGAGACCCTTCAGCGACATCCGCTGGCGCTGACAAACTGCCTCTGGCCCGGGCCGAGCGCCCGCCGCACAAAGCCACGCTCCCACACTGCTGAACTTCACAAATTGGCACCCGATGCCCCACCAGGAATCACATCAGAGGCGGTTCTTTCCGATCAGCAATTATCGGTCACTTTGAGACGACGCTTAGGATTAATTGATAGAGAAATGCCAAGCAATGAAATGCCGAATGCTTTTTAAAACACTCCGAATACGATGACAATTAAAGGCGATTTTAACGAGCTGGCATTCGCTTGAATATTTAAGAACCGATTTAGAGATGATAAGACTAGCATTTGCAGTCTTAATTTCGCGTGTTTTCCGAAATCGTTATCTAGGGAAATCCCTGCTGTAAGGATGTTTGTCTAGCGAAGGCCGCGCCGCCCAGCGCCCGCCTCATGGCACCTCTCCCCTCGATTGGCCCTCGATTCGTCCCAGTCCACTGGGCGTGATTTCGTTCTCCTTGGGCCGGCGGTGGCCGCGCGGGCCGGTGGCGCCCCCACCGGCCGGGCCGCTCGGGGCGGACGCACGTCATCCGTGGAGCCGGCTGCCAGAGGCCGCACCGTGAGAACTTTCCCAGCGTCGGCCGGCCGCCAAGACGCCGGCGGCGGCGGCGGCGGCGGCGCGGGGCGGCAGCGGCCGCCGCCACCGGGCCGCGCTAATGGCGCAGCCGCGCCGATCGCGGTGCGCCAGTTTTTGCGGCGCGGCGCGGCGCGGTGGCGGAGCGGGGCGGGTGGGCCGCCGGCATTGTGAGAGGGCGGCCTCGTGGGAGCGTCCCGGGGCGGCTCGACCCTAAGCCCGCCGCCCAGCGACTGGAGACGGTTTAAATGGTCCCAGTGGACGGGGTGGCCCAGGTCGTCCGCCGGCTACCGCCTCCGCTGTATCGTGTCCTCACCAGCCCCGTCACTAGTTTCCCAAATGGCGAATAAGACGCAAAATCAACAATAATTGCCAACCACAGTAGTGCGCATCTAGTCAAAACACACTGAAACGGGTTCTGTCTCGGTCATCTCTGCCAGCTAGCATATTATCCCCGAGACCCAAAGAGTGACTGGTTACGAAAGGGCTGAAGCATTGCCGCCAAAGGATAATAACGTGCATTCATTTTTATTGCAATGCAAATATTTCATCCGATCCATTACGAAACCGAGCCATTCTGGGTCAAAGCAATTTCGCTTTATCAAAGCGCAACTAACCATAAAGAACGCCAAGGAGCTCTGTGAATTATGCCGCTATTTATCTACAAAAGTAAACGTCACAGACAGAGAGTGGCTCGGTGGGAATGGCGCATGGAAAGCAGTGTCATCACGGCCGCGGTGGGAGAGCACTGCTGAGCCGCTGAGCCGCGCCGCTCGCCGCCCGAGGCGGACCGGACGCCGCTGGCCACATGGCCCACCAACTCTCATCAGTAGTCGCTGCAGCTCAGAGAGCCCAGCCACTTCCCCGTCACCTCGGGCCGGCGTCCCATCAAAACGGCATCGCCAACTGGACTGTCCACCTCCCGAGAATTGCCCTGGCGGCTCGACCCGACCGCGGCGTCTGCCATTTTGTCTCGGACTGGGCACCGACCGCGGCCCGGAGACGGGAGAGCGCCGGCCGGCCGTGTGCACCACGGTGCACGCTGCAATTATCACGCTGCCACCGGCGGCCCAAATGGCCGGCAGCCAGGTGGTCAGTGGCGCTGCACGGCGCCGCGCCGGAAGCGGCGACCGGCGGGTCACGGGCCGCGCTGCTCTCCCACGGCGCCGCTCCCAGACGGCGCCGGTCCGGTCCGGTCCGGTCCGGTCCGGCCGGACCAATCTGGACCGGTCCCTCCGGACCAACGAACAAAGCCCGGCCGGCGCTTCCGTGCGTCCAAGCGAAAAACTTGACCAATATCGCAACAGAAACAATGATCGTATGGAAAACACCACTCAAACGTGACACGACGTCATTTTTCACGGCGATTTATTCGTCATTCAGCTTCCGCCGCGGTATGAGCGATGGCCATCGTCTGATGTCATGGTCTCTGTGGGCCGCTCGCCGCGGCCCGTCCCTGTGAGCGGCGCGCGCACGGCAGCCGCGCCTCCGACAGCCACCGGCAAACAATGCCTCACCGCTGACCGCTGAATGCGCACAGATATGCAACCAAAAACGCGCCGCGCATCGCCGCTGCCGATCGAACGACAGATATCTCCGCACTTAGCATTTCGCGGCCGGCCGGCTATGACTGGCATTACGAGCCGGCGTAACGCAGCCGGGCCGAGCCGGGCGGTTGAACGGCCACGTCACCCGCCCGCCGCTCGCCGGCCGCAGATTGACTAATTATACGGTGCGCGAGTGACGGCGGGCCGGCGATAATGACGCACACTAAGTGGTCCCTGATCGCCGCCGGTAGTCTCTCAGGCTCACCGGGCGTCCTAAGGCGTCCATCAGGATCTCCGCGCCTCCAGGCGTCTCTCCGAGCCCGGACCTGTAACAAAGCGCGGCACGCGGAGGGCGGCGGCCGTTCACCGAACGCCGAGCGGCGAGTCCGGAGCTGATCCAGAGCGGGTCCGGAGCGGGCCCGGAGCGGGTCCGGAGCACAGCCGGAGCGCGGCCCGGTCGGTCACGACGGCAGCCGGCGGCGGCGGCACGAGATGATCGCGATGATCGGGCGCTGCTGATACTGATCGGCACGGAACGAGAGTGCCGCGCCAACGCCGACGGCAGGTCATGAGCGCGCCGGTACGGCGTGATCCGCGCCCGTCCTGATTGATTGCCAGGGCGCCGACCGTGCGGACGCTGCGCTGCCTAATACGAGGGGAAAAATTAGAATATGCGTGATCTTTGAAAATAAGTGCACATATTTCGTAGCATGGCAGTTCGTAAATCACTGTGTGAATGGCTATTTATGACTACAATGGGGAGTGAGCGAGGGGATCGGGCAGCCCCGTCCCGTGCTGCCGCCGGGTCGAGGGGACCTAGCGTGCAGCCTAGCCGCAGCACCGGCCGCCAGCCGCCGCCGCAGACGAATAAGGAGGGATTGCGCGCCGGGATGTTGACTTTCAAAGCCGCCGAGCCGGCCGCCCGTCGTTCGTGGAGAAAAATCGCGTGTCTAGCGCCGTTTCTGGGAACATCGACAGCCGCGCGCTGCACAAAGGTGTGCCGTCATATCTGGCCGGCCGCGGCGGACGGCCCGACACCGGACACATGCAAAACGATCCCGGGGACACTGCCGGTCCGGTCACAGCCCGCTCCGGGCCCCGCGGCGGTCCTTTACGGCTCAGATCGACCGACAGGGGATCGGCTGGGGATCGGCCACCAGCCGCCGGCTCACCAAACACGCAACACAACCCAGATCATCAGATGAAAATTCTGCAGAAATCTGTAAACTTTCACCGAGCTTTGGGAACCGATTTCGCGTTGCGGCGGGCAGGCAGGCTTTTCCGGACCGCTCCGCTCGTCGGGAGACACAATCGCCAGGTGTGTCCGCTGCTGAAGCCTCGTTCTCACGCAGATAGCAGTTGATGACGTCACTCAATAGATCCGCCTACATTAGCCTGCCGCGAAAGCAGTGCAACAAACGGAGCACTTGAAAGTTGAAACACTGCCGAGTGCTGAAGCCTGTAGGAGCCCATTAGCCTAGTGGACGGTATTAATGCCAAGAAACGTCTGTTGACAGGCCTGAAACACTGCCGAGTGCTGAAGCCTGTAGGAGCCCATTGGCCGAGTGGACGGTATTAATGCCAAGAAACGTCTGTTGACAGGCCTAATCTCTTCTAGCAATATTGCGCAACAATCGATTTTCCTGTGTCCGACTAGAAAAGACCGTGCAATTAGCAGAGTACATCACCATAATAAAACACTGTTTACTGCTCGCGGACGTCCTGCTAGCAAGGTTTTTATTATATAAAACAGTATCAGCCGTAGCATCAATCGAAAGAACCGGTCGTCACCTTCGACATTTCCCGTAAACACGGGCAGCATCTGACCTCCTGCACCGGCCCGGCTCCAGATCGGTCTCAAGGACTGGGAAAACGCCGGCCCCCCTGTCGCTCCGGCTGAACATTCCTTGTTCTCCAATGTGTAGCCAATGCCGCGACACACTCGCGAGCTAGCTATTGTTACAGACAGGAAAAGCGACCACCAGCCAACGCTGGCTCCATCGGGAGGCTCTGTCTTAAGACTAAATTTGAGACCAAGCGACGCGCGCATAGGGGTTCCGAAGGACGGAGAATGCAATAGGAAACCCATCACCATGCCCAGGGGCTCGACAGTACCCAGCCAGACACCCCGAGCAGGACCCAGCACCCTGAACCCAGTTCTGCCCACTATATACCCACTGAATGTCGCCCAGTGTGGCGATTTAGTGCGACTCACCGAGCGGGCACTTGCAGGAGTGCTCGAGGTCGTTGATGACGGTGCAGTTGCCGCCGTTCTGACACGGAGACGGCACACACGGCACGTAGTTGGTGTCGCAGTTGCGTCCCGTGTAGCCGGCGTCGCAGATGCACCTGTGGGGAGGGGCAATAGCACCAGGTCAGACCGGGTCAGAGAGGTCAGACCGGTCACAGATGCACCTGTGGGGAGGGGCAGCAGGTCAGACCGGGTCAGAGGTCAGGTCAAGCGGGTCACATATGCACATGTGAGGAGGGGCAGCAGGTCAGACCGGGTCAGAGGTCAGGTCAGACCGGTCACAGATGCACCTGTGGGGAGGGGCAGCAGCAGGTCAGACCGGGTCAGAGGTCAGGTCAAGCGGGACACAGATGCACATGTGAGGAGGGGCAGCAGGTCAGACCGGGTCAGAGGTCAGGTCAGGCGGGTCAGGGGTCAGGTCAGACGGGCCACACATGCACCTGTGAGGAACGGCAGCAACAGGTCAGGCCGGGTCACAAATACACCTGTAAGGGGCGGCGGCCCGTGTAGCCCACGTCACAGAGGCACCTGTGAAGAGGGGACAGGTAAGACGGGTCACAGGTTAGGTCAGTCGCGTCACAGAGGCTCCTGTGGTGAGGGGGCCAGGAGCAGGTCAAACGGTCACCGAGGTCCCTGTGATGAGGGGAGGGGGGGGGGTCAGACAAAGACACGGCCACCGGTTATCGAGAGGAAGGCAAAAGGAAGACAAACACGACTTTCTCGATATGAGGAAGACGAATAGTGAACAGTGAAATTTACAACTGCAATCTAGCAATCTCTTTTCAATATGTGAAACACTGATAAGCTACATTTGAACAATTAGTGTTTTGTTGACAAGACGTGGAGACATGATACGGTTATCGGTTATCAATAACCTCACCATAGCGTATCGATCGTTTGAGGTCGCACTTCTGAGTTCTGAGAACGACCGGTGATACCTGCCTTGATGGGGCTAGGGTTTGCCGGATTTTTCCACGAGTGACCGTGAAGGGGCCTTCGAGGTGCGCCTGGCATCTGGTGTGGAACAGGACGCATGAACATCACTTAGGCTACCTGGGAAGCGACTGGTCCCGACACCTCAGCCGCCGTTATGCATAGTGATGCATTATTCGACGAACATTGACAAACCGACTGCGACAGTGTGCGGCTGCAGCCGGCGATAGTCCGATCGCCTCCATAATTCAACATGACAGTGTCCAGGCGTGCATAATTCAAACTGCCGCCGCGTCTCGTTCCTCGGGTGTCACTCGTTATGATCTGAACATCAATATAACCACATGCGCATAAGTGACCATGGCTCTGCGGGAGCCGGAGGTGCAGACCGGGCGTCCTCACATGCCACCGGCCGCGCCCACGGAGGTCTGTTCAAACACCCCCGAAATACGCACTGTGTCCGCCCAGGTGGCGGCCATATTTCAGTTTTTGTGTAAAAGCCGTCAGTGTCGGTATCTGTGAGTAAATACGGCGCGCAGATACGGCTCTCGGTGTGACACGGCCTCCTGACCGGGCGCGTCGATCGCTCACGGCCCGATATCGGTACCCCCTCCCCCGCCCCGGGCCGGCGGCCGCGGGCCGATCGGGCGGGAGACAGGTGAGTCGGCCGGACTGGCGACGGCCTCCCCTCCTCTCCTCCCGGGCTCCACACCCGGGCACCAGCCGCCCCTCCTCAGCTCACCCCGCGACTCATCCCCTCGCGTCGGCCCGGTGTCAGGTAGCGCAGCGTCCCGACAGAGCGCTCGCTCGGCCCGGTCGCTCGGCGGCGCCCGGTCAGCGTTTTGGCGTCGTGTTTGTCCGGGTGCCGACCGCTGCCCTCAGTGACCCAACAGGTGGGGGCGGATTTCAGCGCAGCACAAACACCCCTCCCCCGCCCAGCTGGGGAGGGGAGGGGTGACGGGCCACGGGGGCCGCACCTGCCCTATCGCGGCCACCGGCCGGCGCAGTCCGCCGTTCAGCTGACCAAGTCCGCCGACCCTCCCTATGACCGCCGGGTCTCAGGTGACCCCGAGGCCCACAATCTCGACCCACCGACGCCGGCAGTTCTGAGCTCGTTCGGTCATTCCTCACCGCTCGACTGGCGTAAGACAGCGCCTGGTCACCGGCGGCGGCGACAGACGAGCGCCTGACGTCTGCCCGGCGCGCCCCGACCACAAACCGACACGTTTCTCAGGCGGTGAACGGCTGAAATTACACAATCCGGGGCTATCATTTTCGAGCCGGCCTAGATTCGGTCCAGACACCGGCGCGGCGCCGTCTGCTCGCCTGTGGGCGGAGTGGCGACCGCGCCCCGTTATCATGGGCAGCGGTGGGTGGAAATCCGTTCCTCCGTGCCCGCAGGGTCGCTCCTCGGTGTCCTCAGGGCACTTCGTGTCCTCACGCCTCAGCTGTGGCCAGTCCGAGTCCAGCAGCCTAACCAGGATGATGAGATCATCGTCATGACGCCGCCAGTGATGACGTTACCAGCGATGACGGCAGCGTCGCGCCCTCAGCTGACGCCAGTGGTCAGCCAGTGGTCAGCCAGTGGTCAGCATACCACTGCCATCACGGCTGAGCCGACTAACCCCTCAGGTACCGTGATTCCTCGCAGCTGGACGGCAACACTCGGCACGCCGTGAGCCGTCCCGGAGTGCCCCAAATGGAGCAGCGCAGGGTAATCTGTATCACTGCGGCCGCCAGCCCTGTTTGTATCACAGCGGCGCGCGGCGGGAGGCCCCATTTCCGCTGCCATCGGACCCACCCAGCGCACGGGGCGGTGCCACGAGCCTTTTTTGACGCGGCACCACGCGCCACTGAGTCCACCGGAGCGGGCCGCAGCCAGTGTAACGAGCTCAATGTTTTGGAGCACGCCGGGCGAGCAGTTCCGGCAGTGGACTGTGCAGCGCTGACAAAACCACTGGGTACAGCTGACAGAGGCACAGAGCCAGCAGCTTACCCCATGGGCTCCAAACACCGGAACACTACAAACATGTGTCCCCACCGTCGCGCGATCCTCGTCAGCAATCCAGAGCACGAGGCGGAGCTCGCAGAACGGTAACCCTCCACGCCATGCCTCGATGGCGGTCACGTCAGGTCCGATGCTTCAGGCGAGGCATCGGACAGTGCCGCGTCGTGCTAAAGCACAGTCGTAAAATCTAGCGCAGAGAACCGCGCCTCTGCGAGCGGGGCGGGCCACCGCGCGCTGAGCCGCGGTCAAAGAGCGGCGATGAGGATGACCTATCTGCTGGACGCACCCCTCTGCAGGAGCTGGGCGACGCACACCCAGGCCGCCTGAGAGTCGGAGAGCGGCCACGACTGCTTACAAGCCACACGCGAGGTCTAACTGGGGCGTGCTGGGAACACGTAAGTCAATATACCCTGGGGAACACGACGTACCACGAGCGCATTAACATGGTTTTTACCGGTCTTGCTTGCCTTTTATGTTCTAGTGTTTCCAGCTAACTGGCTCGGAGCGGATTGCGCCTCTGCTTTCACCATCTCATTAGTGGTTTGTCAGAATCATCATCTAGAGAGAGAACTCCGCTCCGCGACACACTGGCAGCCACGGTCACAGTCTGCAGCCTTATCCCGCTCGACACCCACCTAACTACCGGGTGTCCCAAAAGTAAGGTCATCATTTGTTTTGGCCACACTGCCAAAAATACGCGATGGATAGATATAAATAGGACATCATATGAAAGAGCATTTTATAAAATTTTATTCTGACATACATATGAGTCAATACATTGGCTCGTAGCCCCACATTAGCTGCTTTTCTACATGGCTACCATTTCGGGCCGCGTGCATGAATAGACTACGTTTGACTTCCTCCACTATTCTGGAGCGATTCTCTGGTGAGATGCCGCCTATGTTTGCTCGAAGGGATCATCCTTTAGTTCTTCCCGGCTCGTTGGGTTGTCCTAAAAGACAATCTTTCTGTTGTGTATCCAGAGAATAAAAATATGAAGGTGTAACGTCAGGTGACCGCGGAGGCCATTCAATGGCGTTGCCCTGACTGAAAATTACGGGATCTCACATCCACTCTCGGAGACAATGCATGATCTTCAGGACGGTGCAAGCATAGTCTCCATCCTGCTGAAACCACTGCTGGCTGATGGTGTCGGCACAGCTGCGTTGCGACGAGCGGAAGAACCACTGGGAGGACTCTCGGCCACCTCTCTTGATTTATTGTCACCCGATTCCCGTTGTCGTCCTCAGGACCTCGAAGCACAGGTGGCTAAGTATACATGCCCTGTGCGTACATTATACCTTTTTTTCTGACGTTTTACCGGTTGAGGCGAAACTATGCATGAGTTCAGAGATAGGGCGAGCTGATAGGGTCTGCTTAGGGCCGAAATCTGGGCGGTATTTACCCTTTGTTTTAATGACGGACCCTCTCTAAGAGTTGAATTTCGACCTTCTCAGTTTTATGCCTACTGCTCGGTGTAAATATGATCAAAAATGGTTTAAGCATGCAAGAAAATAATTTTATGGATGTACCTTGCACGTGTTAAAATTGGAAGTGATTCGGACTCTTATTTCTCGAGATATTTAAGTTTTAAATCATGACCTTACTTTTGGGACACCCGGGTTTTGGTACACCCCGAGTTCCTGACCCTGCCCGCCGTATGGACCCCTCCTACCCAGCCATCACTGGTAGCTGTCCGGCTCGGACCCCGGGCCCCCAGCCCTCTAATACTCACTGGTAGCTGCCGAACGTGTTGACGCAGCGTCCGTGCGCGCACGGGGCGCTGTCGCACTCGTTGATATCGTCCGTGCACTTGGCTCCGGTGAACCCGTCGGCACACTGGCACTTGTAGCTGGACTCGAGCGAGGTGCACTTGGCCGAGTTTCGGCACGGCTGCGAGGCGCAGTGGTCCTTGAGTTCGCAGTTGTCGCCGCGGAAGCGCGCCGGACACGTGCACCGGTAGCGGTCGAGCGTCTCCAGCGAGCACGTGCCGCCGTTCTGGCACGGCTCGCTGTCGCACGCGTTCGTCACCGGGATCTCACAGAGACTGGCCGAGTAGCCGATCGGACACTCGCACGAGAACTGCGGACTCGAGTTGTCGTTGAGCTCGACCTTGCATCGGCCGCCGTTCTGGCAGCGCTGGCCGCGCCCCGTCAGACACGGGTTCTCGTACTGACAGTAGGTGCCCACGTGCGTCGGAGGACATCTGCGAAAGAAAGGGGGAGAGACGAGAGTCAGTGGTTAGAATGAAAACAACCAGGACCGGCGGGACGGATCAGTCGGTTCCTAGAAAACAGCATTTATGTTCATCACAGTTTGTTACATGCCATTTCTGGTTTCTTTACAGCCCTACCCATGTCCAGCTTGAGACGACACATTCCTCATCAAAGCCGTGAGAGCGTCTCTCCGGGTGGGAGTGCCGCGACAAAATAAATTTTCGCCTGATGCTTCCCACACGTCTCGGCCGCTGTGTTTATGTTTATAATTCTGTGAAAGTGGGATACCCGCTCTCGGCGTATCTCACGCTCTGGGAGGCCTAGTCAGTCCAATAAACATCCATGGGACTGCGCTGCGTCACCCACTACAGCCACCGTCAACACCGTCGACACACGGATTAAACAGGATCGAGATCGGCTGACGGCCGGACGCCAGCGCCGGACCGATATCCGTGAGATCGGCCGTGCTCGGTTCGGAAGTCATGAGAGCCGGCCTGCTCCCAGTAGCGGCGGTAGCGATCAACAAGACATCACTGCACGGCAGCCGGCCGTGACAGACCGCCTGTCCGTCCCTCTCAGCCGCGTCAATAAACAGCCCTGCACACATGGGTGTAGGAGCGCCAAAAATATTGGTGAAGGATGCCACCTGAACCTTATGAAAAGGGACAGGACCGTGCCAACCAACGTGCAAGCGGGGGGGGGGGGGGCGAATTTCGCCAACCCCTTGTTTTTCGCAGATATCTTACGCCCTTTTCATCCCATTAACGTCAAATTTTCAATGCCTGCCTAAAATTGAATTGTGCATCTTGCCATGACAGCAAGATGTAAATCAGGGCCTCGGCTAAGGAATTTTGACTACTGGGGCAAATGGTCAAAGTGTGTTAACCCGCGCCCTGCTGGGAGGGGGGGGGGGTTTGAACACCCACCCACCCCCCCTGCGGTTTTTCGCGGATATCTGAAAAAACGGCGGCACCTTATCATCTATCAAAGTTATACATTTTGTGAAAATTTCAGACCAGGGTCCTTCAAGGTCCGGTCACCAGGTCGCTACAAGTGACCTCACCTCATAAACACATCATAAAATGTTTCAATGTATGCCATAGCTGCACCAAGTGACGGATCGCTTTGAAGCTTTCAGCAATTGATAAGTGCAACAGTATGTACAAAATTCGGAATTTTCATATCGGTGACCTAAGGTCGGGTCGATTTTGCGACTCTAGGTATTATAAGTCAATGGGAGAAAATTCAAAACCGTCTTTTTCGGACGAAAGTCATTCTAAACACTCTCAAACACTAAATTACAAGTAACTTTGACACACTGAACATGAAAACGGCACCCGTGACCCCTGTTTATGCCCCTGAGGTCATCTCAGGTCACGAATGGTATCTAACAGTTTTTTTGCGACTAACTTTTGAAAGAGGCATGCTAGAGCGATGAAAACGCCTTATATGTATATGTTCAGCTCGACGATACAGATCCACTAACATGCAACATGACAATGTCCGGTCAAATCATGACCTTGACCACAGGTCAAATTTTTAAGTTGAACTTTCAATGTCAAATTATAGTTCATTCGATGCGTCTTGACAAGAGGAACACGATGTCGGTAAAAGAAAGCTCGTGCAAGGCTTGAGTCAAAAGTTATTGCAGAAAAACTGTTCCCGAAAAATCGTCTATTTGGGCAGTTTTTGCCCCCTGCAGGCAAAACCGTTGACGTTAGGTCAAATCTGAGCGAATTACTCAGAAAGGGCGTTAATAGGGCTATCGAATGCGCTTTTCCGTGGCGCTGTAGCTCTATTGGTTCCCGAGCTATGCGTTGGCTTCTTGGAAATTGTCGACATTCGACCTGGAAATCGGCGAAATTTTGCCTTCAATGACCTCTGGTGACCTGACCTTTGACCTGACCAAAAAAGTGACCTAAGTGATTTCGTCATTATTTTTGGCGCTCTTTCGAACGCCGCCTTCCGCGTATCGCTACGTGGCCCAGGAGCCGAGTTAGAAGGGGGGGGGGGGGGTTCAACCCCCCCCCCAGCAGGGCGTGGAAATCCAGGACCCCCAGCCGGGCGCGGGTTAAAAAACAGACATTTGATCAACCGTCGAATCCAGTAGTTCTAAGCATAGGTAGGTGAAGACCCTCCCTTGCATTGTCCAAGATTGGTGAAGGATCCTTCACCAATCTGAAACTTTGGTGAAAGGTATCCTTCACCAAAGAGATACGTTGCTACACCTATGCCTGCACAAAAACGGAGCGCTCCTCGGAGACGCGCCGCCGTCGGCCGGTGACGGCGCCGCCGATTAAGTCGTTTATCATCGGTGAGGAACAGCTCGTAGGGACACGACGCGACCCGTTCACGGGCGTGATAGCCGCGGAGACAAAACCGGCCGAGAGCAGGTAAAAAGTCGCCAGTCAGAGCTGATCGATTACCGGGACCAAGTGAGCAGCGTCCACCGAGCCGGCTGAGTCCACCGGGCCAGCCGAGGCCGAGTCTCCATGGAAGTCACCTGGCGTCCACGGTGGACTCTGTAAACTCAATGGACTCACCGGAAGACCAGAGAATACACGACAAGGAAGGAAGGAGCGGACAAAAATGCACATCAAGATAGAAGAGTTCGCTTGACCGAGGTGAAAAGGCGGAGAGTCTCGCTTGTAGGTGGAGGCATTGTGCTTGCACCAAGAATCCAAAGGTTTCAGGAAAAACGTCTCCAGCCCACGCAAGTGGTTGATGATCGATGGCCGGTGGTCAGTTGCATCAGCGACTCTGACCGCAGATTCAGGAGCGTTGGCGGAGAGCTCACAGGAACACCAGCTGAACCAAGCCAAAGCTTAGGGCTTAGGACCAGCAAAGACGCGACATGAACACGCGTTAAAGTCACATCAGGAAATCGACAGCGATTCCAGTCATCGCTGAGTCTGGGAAGGAAACAAATGCGGACATTTCATAAATAATCGGCGGCTAATCGAGACCTGTCCGTTCAGGTCGAGAGCGGAGAAACTGGCTCATTATAGGCCAATCGACGGGTGGGAGGCGCCCACCTGGAGCTAATAGCCAGAGACGTATAACCCGCAGAGGATGACGGAATTAATTAGGAAGGCGGCTACCGTGGCGCCAGCGACCGTAACGACTCTGGGCGGTCAGATTCACACGCCGAGCGCATGGCACGGGGACGAGACCTACCTACGTTAGCTGTACGGACACGCAGAGCTGGCCGCGTGTCGCACGCACGGCGGCGGCGGCGAGTGACGGCGCGGCGGCGGCGACTGATGGCGCACGCCGCCGTATCACGGCGACAATCGTATCTGGCTGATGGGCTCCATCGCTCGGAGTCCGCCATTTGTCCCCGCAGCGCGACAATGCAAAGACAAAGCGACGCCGGTGGCGGCGCGAGCTGCGCGCCGGTGACAAATGCGCCGCCGACTCGCCGCGCTTTGTACCGTCAGCCGACAAGTGGACCGTGAAAAATGGTCGCCGCACGACCATTTGCCAAATCTAAAGCAATAATCGGCCGACAAAGGGGTGGCGTCTATGTCTGTTGCGGTGACGATTGCGCCGCTAACTGCCCGAGCTCGGCCAGGATTACACCCAGATACTGATGCCAGTTAGAATGTCTCGACATGTGACACGCCCCAGACGACGGGAGAGAGCGGGAGAGCGCGGCAGGTCAGCGGGAGCGGCACCACCTCCCCCGGGCTCCCCGCCGGCACTGTCGGCGCCGCGGGCGTGTTTGACTGATGATTTGCCGGGCGAGCTCACCGCCCGAGGCGGGCACCAGGAACATAGGAGGCGGGCCCGGGGCGGGCGGACGGGCTCGGCGAGGCAGCCGGGGCCGGCGGACGGGCTCGGCGAGGTAGCCCGGGGCGGGCGGACGGGCTCGGCGAGGCAGCCCGGGGCGGACAGCCGACAGATTGGCGGGTGCCCGGTCGGGAGGGCGGCGGCCCGGTCCCGGCCTCAGTGCCGTTCTCACGCGTGTTGTTTACTGGGGCGGCTCCCCTGAGATGGATCAGCGCCCTCACCCTCCCCCCGCGCCACCGGCCCGGCCGCCCGCCGACCAATATCCAATTAACATCAACAGCCGCTTGTTGTACTTCCCGACGGCGGGCATTTTTATGCCGTTTTCCCATAGATTAGCCGGGAGGGCGGCGTTGCAGGCGGCCCATTGTGCCGTGGCGCACGCCGCCCGGCGGCCCACAGATGGCCGCCGAGGGGCCACAAAGGCGCTCAAGCACCGCTCCCGATACCAGATCAATGCATGTAACACAGAGCAGCTCATCTATTCATTCCGTGGCCAACCAGCCGTATTCAAAATCTCATGGCAGACCAACCAACGGTGGGAAGCGAAAAAAGAAGAGCACACAGTACATTATGGTCCAGTTAATAATATGTGAATTATTACCCGATTTTTAACCCTTTCGGAAAAAATATGGGCCATTAATCTCATTCCGGATTCAATGGGTTGAAGCCTCATGAAAAAACCGCCGGCCGGATTCGGAGGGGGATAAGCCACGGCTCGGCGGCCGGCGGCGCGGGCGCGGCGGTCGGGCACCTACTGGCCCCGGGCGCGGGGCCGGCGCGGCGCGGGGCAGAGGGCAGCCCATCAGCGGCCATTACAGGCGCGGCTCCGCCCGAACGTAATGACCACCGCGGTCGTGAGAACAGAACGTGGAAGGTCAGGGCTGCATCGACTCCGCCAAACGCCCCGGGCCGACCAGAGCGTCCGGCTGAGTCAGACTCCCGCCCAGAGAGCTGACTCCGACTCCGCTACTGAGCGGCATGAGTCACTCAGCCGACTCCGGCTCCGTGTCTCACGCTGAAATCCAACCGTCCAATTCCAGCTCCAGCCTCTGCGCCAGCCCCGCAGTACCTACAGGCGGGCCTGGCCAACCGTCGGCGGACTCGGGGCGTCACTCAATTAGAGCCAGGCGGCGGCGCGAATTCCATCGCCGCCCGGCGCGCCCTAATGGCACTGGGCCCGGCACCGGGGCCGGCTGAT